GATCCGTTTTTTACGACAGAGAATCAATTTTTTAGACGATAATGTTTTAAGCGGCAATATGTAGAACAAAATGTAATAGCTGACTGACGTCCGATCGCTGGATCTCTATAGTCATCAGTATATTAATGAGATCACACACTTTTATAAACGCCTATACTATACAAATATCATCTGATGCCAGTCATTCAAAATAATGTTTCGCTTGTAAAGTGTTGTCTTCGAGAGCCACGGTAGCACAAAGAGGGTGACCTTTAAAGAGGGAATGGAAGAGAATGAATGGATTATTTTCAAAAGTGGCTGCAGACTAAATGAGAGAGTGAAAATGTACATGGAACGCTAGCAGCGAGTGGCCGACGAGCGACTAGTCGTTGATTTCCAGAATAAATTTTGTGATTTTTATAGAGCTTTAAGATCCCTTGGACAGAACTTAATCGCTGCTCTGCACGAACATAGCCAGCGGCTATTTAAGGTTCCACGTGGTGGAGTGAAGATGGAAACCTTTCCAGAGAATCATATAGTTATGTGAGCTTTCTAAGTTTTTGATTATGAATTGATTTTCCGAAAAGGGCTCATTTTCGGAACGCGTCTTCGTCCGAATGAAGTTAAGATAGTAAAATGAGTACGCATGGGAACAGCTAGCCGTGAGTGGCCGACCGAAGGGAGGCCGACGAATGACTAGATGTTTCTTTTGAAAATTAGTTGAAAAGTGAGATTGATAAGACTGTCGCATAGTGTCCATAATTTTTCTAAGGTACGGTAGGTCACGAAGCTGTGAAGAATTTCGGCAACTTTGCTAGAGGCGGACTCAACAAGCGAAATTGATCTATGTAAGACATTCTGACAAATTATCAAACGATCATATCGTTCAACTGGAATCACTTTTTTCTCTCTTTGGACGAATAGTAGCGCCCTAATACTATCCTTTCAGTAGAAGTTTTAGCGGCTACTAGGCCGCGTTACCTGTTTTAATGACTTGTTCTGATCTTTTCTTCAAGAAGATTTATTAGAGTGGGTAACTTTTCCATGTGTTCCTGTACTGTTTCAAATCTCCAACGTTTTTTTATTCAAAAATTATTTTATCTATTTTTGATATTTATTACAATATGTATTTCATCACATACTTTTTTAGGTTCATGGTAGATGTATATAATGATCATGACACTTCTCACCTATATTCAAATCTATAATTGTTATCCTATTGACTTTTACAATATACATACAATCAGATCTAAGAACTCTTCTTCTACATGTGTATATATATATCTCACTTTCATGAGTTGCCTAATTCGACTTATATTATAAATGGACATCTGGTAGACTAATCCCAGTTTGAATATAAATAGATGTATATCTATATAAACCTACAAGTTTAGGAATAGATAGGTATAGATTTAGTTATACCTGTGTGCACCGATGGACATAGGCTGACATATAGCTCGGTTGAGTGTATTCCTACGACTATGTATAACAAAATCTATTCCTGTATATTCCTAAACACAAATGAAGGTGGGCTTAGGCAGAGCTGAGCCTATCCATATCTATTCCTAAACTGGCATGGGTGAATAGGCACAGCTAAATCTGTCGTTATCTATTCCTAAGTATGTGTAGAAGTGTATTAGGAATTCGTCACTTATATTATAAGTCGAATTAGGAAGCTACTCCTCACTTTTCAGTCAAAAATAGCTATAAAACTAATAATGATTTATTTATTGAGAAAATAAACAGAAATATTTTATTATTAATCCAGAAATTCAGCTTTTTTGTCTTTTATTTTTTAGGAAAGATTTTTATAAAATCAATTCAGAACGAAAAAGATATTTTATTCAAGAAAAAAAAAATGTTAAATTTATCTATTTTAATTACTTTTTTTCTTATTTATAATAAGAAATCATTTGGTAAGTTTATTTAAAAGTTTTAACATATTTTTTTTGAAAAATGAAGTTTTTAATAAAAAATTTTTCTTTAAATTATATTTTAGCTCTTTCATTTAATCAACCAAATTTATCTTCAACTGTAACTTGGAATCGAAATGGTATCACATTTGCTAATGAATCCGTTATTGGGAAAACGCCCGAGGCTATTTTCATTAATACGAATAATACAATCTATACAATTCATATGCACGAGAAAAAGATTTTAATATGGAATGAAAATAATCTTAATTTAACATCTATTGATTTGGATAATTTGTCAGTGCCCACATATCTATTTGTAACATCAAATGCCGATATTTATATTAGTGATAGCTGGGGAGATAAAACAGTGCAGAGATGGAAATCAGAGACAAACACTTTTGAAACTGTTATGAATGTAAATTCAGCATGTTCTGGTCTTTTTATTGATATCAATGATAATTTGTATTGTTCATTGTATGAGGAAAATCAAGTGATGAAAACAAACTTAAACGATTCTTCTATGACATCCATTCCTATTGTTGGAACAGGTTCTGAAGGATCTAATAGTAACGAACTTTCAAATCCTGGTGGCATTTTTGTTGATGTGAACTTCGATTTATTTGTGGCGGATACTAATAATCATCGAGTACAATTTTTTTCATATGGAGAAACCCATGGGATTACAGTTGCTGGTGAAAGATCTTATAAGCTCACTATACCACTTTTAAAACCTGATGGGATTACCTTGGATGCTAATAAATATTTATATATTGTTGATAGGGGGAATCATCGTGTGATTGGAGAAGGACCTTACGGTTTTCGATGCTTAGTTGGATGTTATAGTGTAGGAGGTGACGAAGAAAAAGGAGGAGGTTCTCAATCGAATCAATTGAAGCGTCCAATAGCTATGAGTTTTGACACTTTTGGTAACATTTTTGTTGTGGAGTCGAGAAACAATCGAATTCAAAAATTTGAACTTATCTCTTCTGGTGAGTAAATAAAGAGAAATCAATTTCTAAAATGAATATTACAGTAAAAGTCTTTTTCTAACATATAAATATGGAAATAAGAATAATTGAAAAATCTTGATTATTTTTTCAAATCTATTGAAGAACTTTTCTTTGAAAACATTTTTTCTTTGATTAATTGTTTAAATCTAAAATAAAACTATTTTCTCTGCTTATAAATTAATTGATAAGATTTGATAACTAAAACTGATTTTTAAGAGTAATTTTAATCTTTTTTTAAATAGAGAATATTTAAGATAGAAAGTTTCGGAACTTCAATTCCTTTTAAATTAATCAATAAGAATGTGAAAGTGAGACAACTGTTTATAAATAAATAAATAATTAAAGAAATAAGTCGATAGATGTGCAAAGAAAATTAATTCTAATAAAATGTACCATTTTCATTCCAGAGATGTTCCAAGAGGGGGAGGGGGACGTCGCCCTCTCAATCTTGGAAAATTTTAGACATAGACTTGGAATTTATGAAAAAACACGCAGGTAGCGTCGAATTTTTCTCAGAATTGAAAACGATTTCGAAGTTTTCTTTCTAAAATTTTCGAAATTTTTTCGATGCCCCCCATTTTTTTGACCTCGGAACACCTTTGTTTCATTCTATAATCTTTTAATCATTTTTAATTAGTTATTAATCTTAACTTTATGAACTATTCATTAACATTGTCAGGTTTGTCTCGCGATTTGAATTATACATTGAAATATTTGCTGAAAAATTCTTTTTTTATTTGATTTCTTTATATTTTAGTTATTTCACTTAATCAACCTCAATTTTGTCCAAACCAAACTTGGAATCGAAATGGTATCACATTTGTTAATCCATCCATTATCGGAAAATGGACCCCTGACGGTTTATTCATTAATACGAATAATACAATCTATACAATTCATAAGCAGCAAAAAAAGATTATAATATGGAATGAAAATAGTCTTAATGTGAGATATATTAATTTGAGTCACTTCTTAGAACCCAGATATCTATTTGTAACATCAAATAGTAATATTTATTTTAATGTTGGAGATGATGGGAATAGAACAGTACAGAAATGGGATTCAGAGAGAAGCACTTTTGAAACTGTTATGAATGTAAATTCAGAGTGTTATGTTCTTTTTATTGATATCAATGATAATTTGTATTGTTCATTGCCTGAGGAAAATCAAGTAGTGAAAAAAAACTTAAACGATTCTTCGATGACATCCATTCCTGTCGCTGGAACAGGTAATAAAGGATCTAATAGTAATGAGCTTTCTTGGCCAGAAGGGATTTTCGTTGATGTGAACTTCGATTTATTTGTGGCAGATTATGAAAATAACCGAATACAACTCTTTTCATATGGAGCAACCAATGCCACTACAATTGCTGGTGAAAAGTCAGTAAGTCCAACTATATCACTTCATAATCCTAGGGCGATTACCTTGGATGCTAATAAATATTTATATATTGTTGAATCGGCGGCAGAACGTGTGGTTGGAGAAGGACCTTACGGTTTTCGATGTTTAGTTGGCTGTTATGAAAGAGAAGGAGGAGATTCTCAACTGGCACATGCAATGCTTATAAGTTTTGACAATTTTGGTAATATGTTCGTTCTCGCAGGTGATGAAATTCTAAAATTCTCTATAGAAAATTCTTGTGGTAAGTAAATATAACATCTGACTTCGATGAAGAGAAATATAAATCGGCAAACGAGCATGAGATGCCTAATTCGACTTATATTATAGGTCCACCTCCGACAGGCTAGTATCAATTCGAATATAAATAGATATCTATATAACACTTATAACAAATGAGTAGATAGGAATAGAAATAGATTTAGTTTTACTTATACATATACACACCCACAGCCTCACCCTCACATTCACACCCACCGCAGCACCCTCAATCGAGATAGTATAAGTGAGAGCGTGGGTGTATATGTATAAGTAAAACTAAATCTATTTCTATTCCTAAGGGTACTAGGATTTGGTCACTTATATTATGAGTCGAATTAGGCAGCTACTCGAACTCGAACGTTCGGGTTCAGTGCATGCGTATTTTCATTAAAGAAACCGAATAAGTTTGATGAAATCACAAGATATAAACAACGCAATCCTAAAATTATGATTCCTTTGGATTTCTCAGAATTCTTACGATTCTTTAAGATTCCACAAATTCCTTAGGATTCCCTGGAATTCTATAGAATTCCTTAAAGTTCTCTAAAATTCTTTCTCAAAACAGAACACTTTTGTTCTGTTTCGGGACATATTCCCAGAAAAGAACAAAAGTGTTCTTTTTTTTTGGGAAAGATTATAATTTCGGATTCCGTTAGATTCCACTGGATTCCATAAAGTCGTTTGGATTGCGTGATATTCCAGGATTTCGGGATTTCGTTGTTTAGCCCTTGTGAAATCAGCTAAGATTTGACACAAAAAGCAATAAGAGTTATCTATTCATTTGTTATAGTTTTGATGAAAAATTAACGAATTTTTTGTTTGACGTTAAGAAGAGATATATGATAGTTATGTATATTATTCATAATGAATATTGAATGAATGAAACTAGGAGATTAAATTTATCAAATATAAATATATTTCATTTCAAAGTCTCTTTTCATATACAGGTTTTCCGTTCAATCAACCAGAAATTTGTTCAAAATCAGTTTGGAATCGAAATGGAATAACAGTTGCCGATCAATTTCAGCTTGGTTTAAATCCTTCTTCAATCTTTATTAATAAACAAAATTCAATTTATTCGATTAATCGAGAAAAACAACAAATTTTATTTTGGAATGAAAATGATAGTGCTCCATCAAAAAAGATTCCTACTAATTATGATAATTCATCTTCTTTATTTGTTTCATCAATTGGTGAAATTTTTATTGATAATGGAATAAACGGTCGGGTTGAAAAATGGATATTTAATAGGAATGTATCAACCACTGTAATGATAGTTTCTTCTTCTTGTTTCGATTTATTTATTGATATAAAAAACTTTTTATATTGTTCAATGTCTAAAAATCATTTAGTTATCAAAAAAGACATTTATAGTCCTGTCATGGGATGGGAAGCCGTCGCTGGAACAAGTGAAAAGGGTTCAACATCAGTTCATCTTAATGATCCTCGTGGAATATTCGTTGATATAAAATTCGATACATATGTAGCAGATTGTGGAAATGATCGAATTCAAAGAATTTCATCTGGGCAAATGGAAGGTACTACGTTAGTAGGAAGTACATTACTTGCGAAACGTCAATACTTACTTTCATGTCCAACTGCAATTATATTAGATATTCAACAATTTTTATTTATTGTTGATTCAAAGAATCGTCGAATTCTTCGATCAGGACCCACTGACATTTTTTGTGTTATCGGATGTGATGGACTTAATATAAAATCTACTCAATTACTCCTTCCAACTAGTCTTGCTTTTGATAATTTTGGAAATTTGTTTGTTGTTGATTCAGGAAATCATCGAATACAAAAATTTGAATATTCATCAAATTCGTGTGGTAAGTTGTAATGAAAATCATTCAGAACATTCTAATGATTTATTAACAATATGAATTTCGATTTAAATAAAGTTTTTTTTTATTATTATAGATATGTTTTCAGTTATTGAATGGACAAATTCATCAATATTAGCTAAAAATAGTCAAATCTATTCACAAGGTTGTGATAGGGAAAGTTACTATTATGAATCATTTGAGATCAAAGTACCTGAAAATCGTTATTATACAATATGGAGTAGTTCGGCCATTGATACATATGGTTATATTTATGAAGAGACTTTTAATCCACTTAATCCAGATGAACATCTTTTTACAAAAAATGACGATGGAGGATCTGAGAATCAATTTAAATTTGACCTTCCCCTTTACAATGACACAAAATACATATTAGTTGTCACAACATATTCTCCAATGATCACTGGGAATATTATAGTTCATATGTCGGGTGTTAGGCATGTTCTTGTTACACGTCTTTGTAAGTATTTGAGATATTATTTCATTAATAGATAATATAAAATGTTGGGGTATCGGAACTTCGCCAATGGTGAAAGGTTAGGGATGTATTGGCGAAAGTACAGTGGACTTTCATCATTGGCGAAGAGAATTGACCTTGAAATATTTGTATGTTTAACTATTATCTTTGTTTGAGAAATTTTTCCAAGGAATGTATCATTTTATCTTAGAATAAATGCATTTTATTTGTAATTAAATAGCTTCACAAATAACTATTCAATCAAATTATTCATCTGAAATCACAACGAATAGTCCAAAATACTGTCGTGATTACAAAAGTCGAAGTTATCATTATGAAACATTAGAAATTAATGTTAAAAAACCTGGTCCATATGTAATTTGGAGTGAAAGTGAATATGATACATACGGTTATCTTTATAAAGATAATTTTGATCCATTACAACCATTTGGTAATTTACTTTTTCAACATAGTGGAAAATGTAATCAACATCAATTGAAATTCTTTGTTGATCTTGAAGCAAATATAAAATATATATTAGTTATAACAACATATTATCCAAATCATACAGGAAATTTCTCTATTTTTATATCTGGTGATAATGATGTTACTATTAATCGTTTTAGTATGTTCTTTATTATGATAATTATTTAATTTTTATGAGAATAATATTGTTTAGATTCAAAACAACAAAGTTGTTCAATTGGAGATCGTTGTCATTTTTATTCTACAACAATTGGTTTACCTCTTGATGATATATTACGCGGTGAAATTCAATCAAATATAACGTTGTCTAATCAATCAATTTCAATTAAAATAAGTGCTGCTTTTACAATTATTATGTTTATTATTGGATTTATAAATAGTTTACTTTGTTTTTTAACATTTAAAAGTAAAGAAGAACGACAAAATGGATGTGGATTATATTTATTTACATTATCAATTACTTCTTTTATAACATCGTGTATGTTTTCAGTTAATTTTTGGTTTTCTTTAATTACTGAAATTCATTTCGTGACTGATATTTCAATACTTCGCGGAGGTCGTTTGGTTATTGAACCTCTTCTTAAACTTTTTCTCTATTATGATACTTGGCTAAATGCTTGTATTGCAATTGAACGAGCAGGCCGAGTTTTTAGTGGAGTTAATTTTGATAGAAACAAGAGTAAACGTATTGTTCAATGTATTATCTTCATTTTACCATTGTGTATTATGGCTAGTCTTATTCATGAACCTTTACATCGAAATATGTTTGAATATAACACTGAAACAGGCAAAGCTTATGTTAATAAAAGTGATAGTCCTTTATTCGATGTAAGAAATAAAACATTTATCGATACAATTTATCAAAGTACAACTCAACGACAATTTTGGTGTGTAGTTCGTTATTCATCATCTATTCAATATTATAATACTGGAATATTATATTTTCATCTTATAATTCCATTTCTTGCTAATCTATTTTCAGCTTTATTTATTATTTTTCAAACTGCACGTCAACGATCAACAGCACAAACGAATCAATCTTTGCAAGAACATTTTCGTCAACAATTACATGAACATAAGCATTTAATTATAAGTCCAATTATTTTACTTATTTTAACAATGCCTCGTTTAATTATTTCATCATTATCTGGTTGTAAACGAACATCAAAAAATATTTGGATATATCTTATGGCTTATTTCTTTTCATTTACACCATCGATATTTACCTTTGTTATTTTTGTCATACCATCGAGTTTATATATGAAAAACTTTAAACGATCTTTTAATATTTGTCGATGCCAAACTGCTAAAAAATCAAATGGTAAACAAATCTTGAATGAATAATAACTTTCATGTCAGCTTTCCTTTGCAAATTTCGCTTCATGTTTAAAGTATCGCGTGTGTTCTATCTATTTTACTATATTGAAAAAAAATCTTTCTAAGTAAAAAACTTTGAAATAATACATTGAAATACACTCGTTTTTTTTTATAAGCAGAACCTCAAAGAATAAACAATTGTTTTACCTTTCGCGAAGATACAATCGTTTTCTTCACCACAAATCACGTAGAATTGACGATTATTCTTATCCTCTAGCACAATCATCTGCTCATAAGAAATCTTTTTTCTAAGAAATTTTGTGTCATTATTTAAGATTTGATTTTTTTTCGACAAAAATGTTATCCTGAAAAGTGTCGTAATGGATTCCGTAATGTTCCTGCGCCACACGAATTAGATGAAGACGTAGCAGTATAGTCTCGGAACTCTATACTTTATGACAACTTCAACAAAAACAAATTTCAAAGAACATTATGATATTTCTCCATTGCAAAAATCACCACAAACAATGTTAAATAATTATTCATCCAATTTGATTAGAAACGTAATGATTATTCATTTATCCATTACTAAATAAACTAATTGTGATGTCATTATTATAACCGATCAATTATATTTGAAAAGAAAATATTTTTTCTTCCTAACTAAATATATATTTATACATGTGCAAATCATTGAAACGAATAAAAAATATAGTCGGTGAGAGTGAACGAGAAAAAGAACAGATAATTTATTTCTTTTCACACAGTGTATAATTACGTTAATATAATGTCACGAAAAACATTTTTAATAAACAAGCTTTCTAATCGTAAATATCGTCTAAATGGTATTTGGCCTTCAAATCGTTTACCAAACAAAGGAAATTTATGTCAATCTTTCAACAATCGTGTAACTTATACTCCTGAAGAACTCCCACCGAAAGTTGATCTTCGAAATGATATGACAACGGTAGAAAATCAATCAAGTATTGGTAGTTGGTAATTACATTTCAAAATAGATTTAACAATAATATTGATTGCTTTGTTCTTGATTTTAGTTCAGCTAATGCCCTAGCAGGTAAAAATTAATTCCAAATACAATTTTATAATTGAGAGTTTTCTGAATAGGAGCATATGAATATTTAATAAAGAAACTTCATGGTGAAAGTATTGATATTAGTCGATTATTTATTTATTATAATAGTCGTGAAAAAGATCAACCATCAGAACCAATTACAGATTCAGGTTGTTCAATGACATCTGCTATTGAAGCACTTGAAGAACTTGGCACTTGTCTGGAATCATTATGGCCCTATGATATTTCTAAAGTAAATACACGTCCAAATGAAGAAGTATATACATCAGCTAAATCTCATACAATATCACAAGCACTTCAAGTCGATATTAATTTACATGAAATGAAATCATGTCTTGCTCAAGGTTTTCCTTTTGTATTTGGACTTCATCTATTTACATCATTTGACAAAGCAGCTAAAACAGGTGTTGTACCAATGCCAACTTCTAACGATCGTAATCGTCAATCTGATGGAAGGTATAACAAAGTTTTCTTCAATTTACAAAGCTTATTTTCTTCTATTGTTATTAGCCATGCATTGGTAGCTGTTGGTTATAGTGATCAATCTCAATCATTTATTGTTCGAAATTCTTGGGGAGAAGATTGGGTAAGAAATTCTTCGAGGGATGTCTAAGGCGAATTTTTGATTGATATTTTGTAGGGTGATCGTGGATATTGTTATATTCCATATGATTATCTGACTGATTCGGATCTTTGTTTTGACGTATGGACGATTCGTAAAGTATCGAATAATGATTTTGGAAAAGAAAATTGGGATTATAATGATGAAATTGATTATCAAAATATTGATAATTATAATTATGATGAGGATAATAGCGATGATTATCGTACAATTGAACAATTTGACGAAAACGATTTTGAAATTGATTCGTTTGATGATAGTGCTCGTGGTTATGTTGATGATAACTCATGGAATAAAAATGATCAATTTAACTATGATGATAATCAAGGAGAATATGATCAGTAATGGAATAGAGATGATGAACTGACTTCTCTTTTTGTTTTTCTTTCAAATAATAATGACAATCTAATAGATCTTATCCAAGACGTTGATTGAAATAATAATTGATATTTACACTTCACTAAATTCATATTCAAATTTAGATAAGCTATGAATGAAAGTTTTATGTTCGATTGAATTATAGTTTATTTAAGTTGAAAAATTTCATGCGAACTGTTCTTACATCATTTAAAAAACGCTCTAGATTTATATCAATTACTGTTGTGCCTTGTAGCAATGTATCAAGCAACTATAAACTATAATTTATACTTCTGATGTTAATTGACACTTTTGACGTATTATTCTGAATCTTATCCATGTCCTTGCAAACTTATCGTCATTGATTATCGTAGCAATTGAACCAGTTTATAAACAAAGCTTCCAGCTATCGAATTACAAGAAATTTTCATCATTTTTCTCCATTTATTCAAGTCATATACATTTCAGTAAATGCGGTGAAACACTGAATGGCAACCAATCATTTCATTATATCAATACAATTTATGCACATTCGATGTTATTTACAAATTATCTATTGATGATGGTACACATAATCGGTGTTCGTTTTGTTTACGTCTTTGGGCAAATGAATTGAAAATATAATCTGACATGAATAAAGCAGAAAATGAAAGAATGAGCATAAAACTGACTTCAATTCGAACCCAACTAGTTTTCTGACACTTTCAGAAAAGGGTCAGCGAATCCAACGGATGAGCGCTACTTGTTTGTGTAAAACTCCATATTAATGGATCTTTAATAACAGATCTAGTAATTACGGTGTATCGCTGTCATAGAATTTATGCGTTTACTTTTCATCGTTCAGCATAAATTCACGATACTGTCATGTCGCGGCTAGTAATTGAATGGTTGCTCATTATTACCAGTCGAAGGCTGTTTGAAGAACTTGAATTTTGATTATTTAGAAACGTAGTAGGTGATCTATATCATCGCATTCGGGCATAGCTGCCCGGATGACATATTTTCGTTTACTATACTGTGTTAGGTGGAGTTAACTCAAAGCATATAGCTGGGTGATTTCGTCACTTAATAGATTTTATTCACAGTTAATCGCCAAAAATACATATGTTCATTTATAGCCTAGCAAGTTTGTAAGAAAACTTTTAAATTATCCGTGCTCTCATTGATAGCGGCAAAATCCAGTTTAGAATCGTTATTAAAGTCACCAACGACAATGTAAAATGGATTAGTACCATAACCATTTGGAATTTTTATTCGACTGCTGAAGGAGCCATTGCTATAGCCGAGGAAAAGACTGATCGTATTGCTGCCATAGTTAGCAACAATAATATCCTGCGAGTTATCATTATTAAAATCAGCTGTGACAATGGCGTATGGCTTTGATTCGACACCGGTTAACAATACTTGTTGCTGTGCAAATGAAGTATTTACAGATGCAACGAGTACACTGATACTACCATTATAATAATCAGCAACGACGATATCCAATAGTGCATCGTTATTCAGATGACCACTAGCAATGGACCATGGCGAGTAACCAAGAGTACTAGCTGTTTGATTGGTAAAAGAGATATTTCCATAGCCCAGGAACAGACCTATGCTATTTGTACCTGAGTTTGCCACCACAATGTCTGTGTAATTATCATTATTAAAATCGCCTGTAACTAACGATCTTGGTCGTGATCCGTTGCCAGTTCTTAAGGTTGTTTGTTTGACAAATGATTGACTGATGGATCCAAACAACACATCGACTTTCGACACGCCCGAACAGATGACAGCTATATCCATGCGTTTGTCATTATTAAAGTCAGCAAAAACTGAAGAAAGTGCACCTGCACTGGTCGAGTACGTCGTTCGAGAAGTAAACATACCATTACCATAACCATTCAGAACACTTATACTACTGTTAACCGAATGCGCAACTATAATATCGAGGAACTTGTCGTTATTCAAATCACCGATGATTATTGAGTTTGGTTGAGAATCAGTGGAATATCTTGATTGATTTTTGAAAGTTCCATCACCAAAGCCAAGCAAGACACTTATATCATTACTTCCACTATTTGCAACTATGATATCCAATTGTGTATCATTGTCAACATCACCAATAGCAAGGGATACCGGACTCGTACCAGTAGGATATTTGTTTTGAGCTTGGAACGATCCATTTCCGTTGCCCAGAAATACACTTATATCATCATTGTTTGTATTTGCAACAACAATATCAAGTCGTTGATCGTTGTTAAAATCATCAACAAGTATAGACTGTGGAAGTGAACCGGTTGGATATCTCACTTGATTACTGAACGAACCATTACCGTGGCCAAGCAGAATACTCATATCGTTGCTATTTGAATTACTGGTTACGATATCCAAGTATGTATCATTATTGAAATCTCCTACACTGAGATAGTATGGCATACTCCCAGTAGCGTACTTCATTGGATCTCGAAAAGTTCCATTGCCGTAACCAAGAAAAACATTTATTCGATCTGCAGTCCGAGAAGCAATGATAATATCTAACATATTATCTTTATTAATGTCACTGACAACTACAAATATAGGATACCAATCACTTGAATATACCACTTGAGTTGCGAAACTACCATTGCTATTACCAAGAAGTATGCTGATGGTGCCGTCCCACATGTTCGTAACCACAATATCAGGCTGCTTATCGTTATTAAAATCGCCGACAGCTGCGTATTGAGGTAGAGCACCAACAGTATACGAATTATCGAAAGTGAATGTTCCCGTATCATGTGAAATGAAGATATCAATGTCATCTGTATTCTCATACGTTACTGCAATTTCCGAGCGTCCATCATGATCAAAATCAGCAGCAATCAGAGTCAATGGAGGATTACTGATCCCACTATCGTAACTTGCTTGAATAGTGAATACGCCCTGCTCATTACCGAGTAGCAGTGCTAAGCTCTGAGTACCACGAGTCGCCACGGCAATATCCATCTGACCATCATGGTTAAAGTCTTGAAGAGCAATTGAATAAGGAGCAGAGCCCAAGGTCAATCTGTATAATATCTGTCGTTCGAAGGTACCATTGCTACGACCAAACAGAATCCCAATATCGTTTGTACCATAGTTAGCGACAGCAAGATCAAGCCACGTATCATGATTGAAGTCACTGACGACAACCGCTTGTAGACGAGAAGCTTCGCCCGATACAAAAACGATACTATTCCCGAGAGCACCTCGATCATAACCGAATAGCAAAGTTATAAATTTTTCATTTTGATTGCCAACTACGATGTCCAATCGACCATCATTATTAAAATCATCGGCAGCCAAGGCCCGGGGCATAGATCCAGGCGCAAATGTCATACGAGTGTGGAAACTTCCATCTCCCACTCAAAGATACACACTTATCGTATTATCGTTTGTATTAGCAACGATAATATCCTTTTGAGCGTCGTTATTAACATCAGCAAGGATTAAAAATCGGGGACTACTATCAGTGGGATAGTTTGTTTGGATACGAAAAGAGCCATTCCCATTCGCAAGCAGGACACTTATATCGTTACTGCCTGCATTACAGACGACGATGTCTGGTCGCAAATCGTTATTGAGGTCACCAACAACGACAGTATATGGATCAGAGCCGACTGAGTAACGGATCTCTTCAGCAAAACTATGATTGCCATACGCAAGAAGAACGCTCACACTTCCATTGTCACCATTGACAACAACTAAATCTAAATAAGTGTCGTTATTAAAATCAGCGACAGCTACCGATCGTGGATTAGGTCCTGTTGAATACTTCGTTTCATTGCGAAAAGAACCGTCACCCGATCCGTACACAACAGATATATCATTGCTGCCGGAATTTGCAGTAATAATATCCACGTGAGTATCGTTATTTATATCATTAACGATAACATAAAACGGATCGTTGCCAACCGATAAGTTCTGTGGTATACTAAAATAGCCGTCACCTTGTCCGAAAAGTATCAACACTTGCTGTTTTAATGGATCAGTCACGACAATATCTAGTCGCCTATCGCTGTTAAAATCACCAATAGCCAAAGAAAATAAATAGTATTCAGATAAGTACGTGATTTTCGGTGTGAAATTTCCATCGTTTTGACCTAAAAAGACGCGCACAGTTCCATCGTATTGATCGCTAGTTACAATGTCGAGATGATTATCGTTATCAAAGTCGCCCACACCCACTGAATAAGTGGAAACACCAGCTGGATACTTCTGTTGCACTGGAAAACCTTCATAGTAACCAAAGAAAATATTGATACTATTGAGATCATTTTCCACAATTGTTACATCCAATCGATTATCATTGTTAAAATCACCGGTAGCAAGCGCTATTGAAAATAATGAACCAGTCAAATATATTTTGGGATCGGAAAAACTACCGTTATTATAACCTAACAGAACACCAAAATTATCAGTACCCTTGGTGGAAAGGATCATATCTATAGCATGATCATTGTTTAGATCCCCGAGTGCAACTGCGTACGGTATCATTGTGTTCAATGCATATGTGTTCTGCTTATCGAAAGATCCAAATGCATTATTAAGGAGTATGCCTATACTGTTAGTACCGTAATTAACAACGACAATATCTAGCCAATAATCACTATTCAAATTGCCAACAGCGATCGAAGTGGGTTGAGAATTACGTCCAGTTGAAATTGTCATTTTGTCTTTTAAAACACCATTCGTACTTCCAAACAGTATATCGATACTATTAGTACCATAATTCGCAATAGCTAAGTCCAATTGTGTATCGTTATTAAAGTCCCCGGCAGCGATCGCCATCGGAGAAGCATCGTAGCCTAACCAGTATGTAACAGAAGACGAAAATCTCGCATTACCGGAGCCAAAGTAAATACCGATACTATCAGTGCCATAATTAGCCGCAACAAGATCCATTATTTGATCACCATTCAAATCGTCTATCAAAATCGCAATTGGACGTGCCGTACCCGTTGAAAGCGTGGTAAATTTCGCAAACGATTGATTTTCTAGACCAACGAGGATATCTATGGTATGTGTACCGTAATTTGCGACAGCAATGTCTAGTCGATTGTCATCATTGAGATCCTTGACAGCAAGCATATACGGAGATGAACCAGCATTCAATGCAAAGGTCATCGACTTGTTCTCAATAGTATCATTCACATACCGAAGAAATATGACGATATTGTCAACAGCTGAATTAGCGACAGCTAGATCTAAAATGCCGTCCCGATTGAAATCACCAACGGCAACCGATCGTGGACGATAGTTGTATTCAATTGGATTGATTGGTGTTGAAATAAAATTTGTACCACACGGTGAAGCTGAACACAAGATTCGGTTAGGTTCAGCTTGTTATCAGAGGAAGACTTTACCTGACTGTACGGAAATGGTGCGACAGACAACAACAACACCGATTAGTATCACAATACCGCAGAATGTGCAAGATAAAAAGATCGGCACCAGTTTAGATTTCTTCTCTACTTTATCAGAATATTCTCTATGAAAGAAAAATACAAATGATTTTCGCATTCGAATGTATCAAAAAAGATGTACGTAGTTTCGAGAACTGTTGGTTCTGGTGTATCAGTAGCATGCAAATTTGCAGTCGATGTTGTGCTTTCTTCCATCTTGATAAACAAATCTTTTCGGATCTAATTGGAAAAAAAGGCAGATACTAGATCGCTAGTTCGAGTGACATTCTTCTAATCGTATTATTGATTACCTTCTCAATGTAAACAAGGACGATTAATGAAAAAGTATAGGATATACATTTAGGTGAATATACTGTATTTATTCAACCACGTGCTGGATGTTGGCGACGGTTATTTTTTTATTGAATATAGTAACTACTGGTATGTGGGTAGTTCTATTCAGCTTTATCGATTTAATAGTCATATAAACGACGTTGTGTAAGGTAGAAAGGATGATTATTAATATTCGTAAACAGAAAAGATAAAATATCACAGTTAGATTTGTAATTGACATGTCATAGTCGTGTTTATGTGCATGAAATCGTTCTAAGAGCATCATAATGATGAATAATAGTCGAAATGAATATTGACATCATGAAAGAAGTACCTTTCAACTATCTAAGAAGTGCAATCCATTTTGTAATACGTTCTTGATCTTTTTCTATTACGTATGTAAACAAGCCTTATGTTAAAATTTATGACGAACTGTTCGATCGATAAAGTTAAATCTACCGAATCACTGCATGTTTCTGATGGGATTATCAACCAATACACTGTACTTTAGTAACTGTTTATGAAGGAGAAACTTGCTCTTCTATTGTGTTCTGTTAAAATTCATAGTATTGCAGGTGTATATTAATGAGTACCACTTACTAATAACAGTGTATTCAGGGTAGAGCATAAGAACACGCCGTCTACTCGCCGAATATTTACGCTCTACCATCGATGAGTTCGATTGTCCTCTGAAAACACAAATTACTCACTGATCAGCGACTTGTCATTTTCCTCAAATTCAAAAAAAATTCACAGAAGTGAAGGAAGTTTTAGACATTTTCAGTAGACTTCAGCAACAAATTGAGTACAAAGAAAAATCGTTAAAAAACTAAAAAGATAACAACATTTATCGCCTGCCCGCATGAAAATTTTTATCCTTTGTCAGATATCTGCCCTTTCAAATCAACGAAGATATACTTAGACGATTATAATCGATAAGTTAGATTCAATGAATGTTTTATTTCTTCGTCAACTCATAAAACAGTATCGCACTAATAGCTGCACATTCTCAGTAAAAATAGACGGAATATCTGTGATAATTTTCAGCACTGACCTCCAACTCTTTTGAGGACGCTTGGCTACACTACTCTTTTTCACATAGGCCCATGAAGTATTCGAGACGTTATTCAAAAACGCAATATTCCAAAGGTTAGAAGCAAAAAAGACATTTGTGAGTGCATATTACCATAAATGTGAGAAAGAAACTATTATGCACAAGGATGTTTAAACGATGCAAAAAGAACACAAAATTGATTGATATATTAAAATAAGGGATCTTTCAATTTGTCCAGGACTTTAATTGTGTTATTTCTGAAATAAAACATCATTTTATTTCAGCTCACAAAGATGTAATTCTTTTATTTTTAGAATCATACCGTTGTGATGTTGACAGTAAGTGTTTTTATTCACCAAGGTAAAAGCATCGAATGAAACTTTGCTGGCATTTCGTTCGATTCTTCGAAAGGAACGAAGAATGTGCACAACAGTGTTTTTCTAGATTGAAATTCATTTTCAAATGGCTTCCAGCAACACTGACTCGATCGAAGACGTGATTACTTGCATAATATGTTTGAAATATTTCGACGATCCACGTCTATTACCATGCTCACACACATATTGTTTATCATGTATTAAGCGAGTGGCCGCCACTACAAAGGGCGATTTTGAGTGTCCGATGCGTGATGGAGTGAAAATCGAGAGCAAACAAATCGACTCTTTGCCTCTCAATCGAATCGCGCGTGATATTATTGAATTGCGTCGTAGGTTTTTAATGAAAAGAAACGGATAGATTTTTAAAAATATTTTCAATATTTTTAGCTCAACACCAATGTTCGAATTGTATGGTGGCCACTGCAGTTGAATGGTGTAATGATTGTAAAAATCGTTACTGTTCTGATTGTAGTAAAGTCGTTCACAGTTTACCAGCATTTAAAAGTCATCACATCACTCAAGGTTCTATGGGATCGTCTATGATATTTTCATGCGATAAACATCCCGATGAAAAACTGAAGTATTGGTGTAAAAGTGCTGATTGTGAAACAGTCACGTGCCGTGATTGTCTACTGTTCGAACATAAAGATCATGACTATGNAACAAGATCCATTATTTGATCACCATTCAAATCGTCTATCAAAATCGCAATTGGACGTGCCGTACCCGTTGAAAGCGTGGTAAATTTCGCAAACGATTGATTTTCTAGACCAACGAGGACATCTATGGTATGTGTACCGTAATTTGCGACAGCAATGTCTAGTCGATTGTCATCATTGAGATCCTTGACAGCAAGCATATACGGAGTTGAGCCAGCGTCCAATGCAAAGGTCATCGAATTGTTCTCAATAGTATCATTCACATACCGAAGAAATATGACAATATTGTCAACAGCTGAATTAGCGACAGCTAGATCTAAAATGCCGTCCAGATTGAAATCACCAACGGCAACCGATCGCGGACGATAGTTGTATTCAATTGGATTTACTGGTGTTGGAATAAAATTTATACCACACGGTGAAGCTGAACACAAGATTCGGTTAGGTTCAACTTGTTATCAGACGAAAACTTTACCTGATTGTACGGAAATGGTGCGACAGACAACAACAATACCGATTAGTATCACAATGCCGCAGAATATACAAGATAAAAAGATAGGCACCAGTTTAGATTTCTTCTCTACTTTATCAGAATATACTCTACGAAAGAAAAATACAAGTGATTTTCGAATTCGAATGTATCAAAAACTATGTACGTAGTTTCGAGAACTGTTGGTTCTTGTGTTTCAGTAGCTTGCAAATTTGCAGTCGATGTTTTACTTTCCACCATCTTGATAAATAAATCGTTTCGGATCTAATTGAAAAAAAAAGCAGATCCTAGATCAGTAATTTAAGTAACGTTCGTCTAATCATACTATTGATTGCCTTCTCAATATAAACAAGGACGGTTAATGAAAAAGTATAGGATATATATTTATGTGAATATACTGTAATTATTCAACCACGTGCTGGATGTTTGCGACGATTATTTTTTTATTCAATATAGTAATTATCGGTATGCGCGTAGTTCTATTCAGCTTTATCAATTCGATAATCATATAAACGACGTTGTGCAAGGTAGAAAGGATGATTGTCAATATTCGTAAACAGAAAAGATAAAATATCACAGTTAGATTTGTAATTGACATGTCATAGTCGTCTTTATGTGCATGAAATCGTTTTAAGAGCATCATAATGATGTATAATGATCGAAATGGATATTGACATCATGAAAGAAATGACTTTCAACTATCTAAGAAGTACAACCCAGTTTGTAAAAGGTTCTGGATCTTCCTATTATGTATGTAAACAAGCCTTATGTTAAAATTTATGACGAACTGTTCGATCGATAAAGTTAAATTTACCGAGTCACTGCATATTTCGGATAGGATTATCAACCAATGCACTGTACTTTAGTTACTGTTCATGAAGGAGAAACTTGCTCTTGTTTAATTCGAGATGTTTTCAAGATTTCTACAGTGGCTACGAGACATTATACACAATCAAAACAGTACTGATGAAAGATGACTTGACTCATATAGAAGGACGACATCGATTTTTATGACATTTTGCTTTGAAGTCATGAACATCACAATAGACGCAGATCTTCCATTGTGTCCTGTTAAAATTCGTAGTTCTGCAGGTGTACATTAATGAGTGCCACTTATTAATAACAACATATTCAGCGTAGAGCATGAGAAAATATACGCTCTACCATTCATAACTTTTAGGACGATATGCGCTCCATCGATGAGTTCGAATGTCTTCTGAAAATACAAATTACTCACTAATCAGTGACTTGCCATTTTCCTCAAATTCAAAAAACAAAATTCCACAAAAGTGAAGGAAGTTTTACAAAATTTTCAGTAGACTTCGGCAATATATTGAGCACAACGAGAAACCGTTGAGAAACTGAAAACATAACAAAAGTTATCGCCTGTTCGCATGAAAATGTTTACCCTGTGATAAATCTCTGTCCTTTCAAATCAACGAAGATATACTCAGACGATTATAATCGATAAGTTAGATTCCATGAATGTTTTTGTTTCCTTGTCAACTCATACAATAGTATCACACCAATAATTACACATTCCCAGTAAAAATATATAGAATATCTATGATAATTTTCAGCACCGACCCCAACTCTTTTTCATTTAGACCCATGAAGTGTTCGAGACGTTATTTAAAAGCGCAATATTCCAAAGGTTAGAAGCGAAAAAGACACTTGTGAGTGCATATTACCATAAATGTGTGAAAGAAACTATTATGCACAACGGTGTTTAGACGATGCAAAAAGAACACAAAATTGATTGATATATTAAAATAAGGGAACTTTTAATTTGTCCATGACTTTGATTGTGTTATTTCTGAAATAAAACATCAATTTATTTCAGCCCGCAAAGATGTAATTCTTTTACTTTTCGAAGCATACCGTTGTGATGTTGACAGTAAGTGTTTTTATTCACCAAGGTAAAAGCATCGAATGAAACTTTGTTGACAATTCGTTCGATTCTTTGAAAGGAACAAAGAATGTACACCACAGTATTTTTCTAGATTGAAATTCATTTTCAAATGGCATCCAGCAACACTGACTCGATCGAAGACGTGATCACATGCATAATATGTTTCAAATATTTCGATGATCCACGTCTATTACCATGCTCACATACATATTGTTTATCATGTATTAAGCGAGTGGCCGCCACTACAAAGGGTGATTTTGAATGTCCGATGCGTGATGGAGTGAAAATTGAGAGCAAACAAATCGATTCTTTGCCTCTCAATCGAATCGCGCGTGATATTATTGAATTGCGTCGTAGGTTTTTAATGAAAAGAAACGGATATATTTATTTGATGTTTTCAATATTTTTAGCTCAACACCAATGTTCGAATTGTATGGTGGCCACCGCAACTGAATGGTGTAATGATTGTAAAAATCGTTACTGTTCTGATTGTAGTAAAATCGTCCACAGTTTACCAGCATTTAAAAGTCATCACATCACTCAAGGTTCTATGGGATCGTCAATGATATTTTCATGCGATAAACATCCCGATGAAAAACTGAAGTATTGGTGTAAAAGTGCTGATTGTGAAACAGTCACGTGCCGTGATTGTCTACTGTTCGAACATAAAGATCATGACTATGTTCCTATAGACACTGTTGCCCATGACGCCAAAGCAACAGTAAGAATATGAACGAACTTATGGGTAAAATTTGATCTATGTATTCTATTTAGATCGCAAGTGATCTACAAGTTATTCAATGTGATTTAAGTGAAAAACTTATGTTACCCAGTGCCTTGATAGCTGAGATTGATTATCTGACTCAATCGAATTTGACGAAGTTCAGCGAAGGTATTGAGCTCCTGCGTCAAATTATCGATGAACATGAAAAAGCAGGGATCCAGCAAATTGAAGAAAACGGTTCGAAGGATAAGAAGAAAATCGAAGAATATGAAAAGCACTTGCAAAATGAGCAACAAAAGTTTCACGTACAACATGCGCTTTTCCAAACACTTGATTGCACGGGTAACAATACCAAATTACTACAATTGAAACGAAAATTCTCTGAATATACGAGAAAAACAATTCAAGATTTAAGTGCCCTTCATCCACCTATCATTACTGATCTTCGTCTCGAAGGATTCGATCAACTGGAAACGTTGAAGAACGGTATACAGGAGTATGGACGTTGCGTGGAAATTCCTCCATCAACAAACACGCGACTGAAGAACTCTATATTTTTAAATTCAAAGCGAGCTAAACTCTCCGTCCATCATCAAACATTCATTGGACAAGATATGAAGTATGTCATCGATGCACTGCGATACAATCTAGTAAGAGTTATGGATAGGAAACGTTGCTGACATGAAGAATATCCTTTTCTACATAGACTGTAAGTACACTACGTTTCTATGAATGTGAAATAGATGAAGCTGCATTGGGATATATCGCTGAAACATTGAGATACAACAAAGTAATCGATTTGCATTGACTGGCCTCTCATGATGTTTGACTGTTGTTCTGTTTAGATGTTAACAACACTTACTTTGATTGCAAATGAGATCGATGCTGATAAAATCAAAGTGTTAACAGCTGTATTGCAAGAGAATAAGGTTATATATCAATTTGATTTTAGCGCTTTTTTAAAAAAGTAAGTCTCCATATTGATGTAGACTCTGGCGAACTTGGAATTGTTTGAAAACGATATCGGAGATGGTGGCATGCAGCATTTGGCCAATGCATTAAAACAAAATACGGTAACATAGTGCATGTATATATATATGTACATCAACTCTTTTATTATAACTCTGTAGACATTGCTGAAACTCAGTTTACATGACAATGAGTTACATGCCGATGGAGCAAAATGTATAGCTGATATGCTGCGAGAAAACAAGGTCATTTTTGGAAACCTTCTTGAAAATCAATCCGATCTTTGATTGCAATTTAGACATTGACTACTTTAAATATATCTGAAAACGAAATTGGCAATGCTGGAGCACAATATCTGGCCACGATGTTACAAGAAAACAAAGTACTTGAAAATCTTCTTATATTTCAGATGTTCACTTTTTCATTTTCAGTCATTGCTCACATTGTGTCTCAATGATAATGGAATAACAGCTGAAGGGATAACGCATCTCAGTGATGCACTATCTCATAATAACGTAATTCTCATTTGTGCTTGTCTAACTATCATGTATTCCTGAGAATGTTTCTCAGACACTCAAGACATTGTATTTGGTAGGCAACACCTTCGACGATGAAAGTGCTAATCATCTGGCAACCGCTCTACGAACAAATAAAGTGATCCCCTGGATATTTTCTTACCTTATGCTTAGGTTATATTTGCTATTTAGACACTTTCGACATTGTTCTTGATCAACAGTGGTTTTGGAGATGATGCAGCACAATATTTATCTGAAGCATTGCGAAACAATCAAGTAACTCCAATCATCTCATCTTCTGTACATAATCTTGTGTTCAAAAAAGACACTCACCACATTGGTACTCGTTAATGAAATTTCTGATAACGGAATGAAACATTTGGCCGATTCATTACAAGAGAACAAAGTAACTTATCTAGTAGAAGATTTCTCGTTGTAAATTTTATTTGTTCCAGACACTCACGACATTAGGTCTCCTTCCCGGTGAAGTTAAAATTGATGCAGCAAAGTATTTAGCTAATGTTTTACAACATAACAAAGTAAATCAGTATTTTACCTCCTATTAATCTCCTTAGTTGCATAGACACTTACGACATTTGTTCTCTATGGGATGGGATTAGGAGATGAAGGAACGAAATGTATCAGTGATGCATTGCGTTTGAATAATGTAATTCCACATCTGATTATTTTTGAAAGTCTTTCATCTCTCTCTTTCTCTCTCTATCTGCCATAGACACTTAGCACATTATGTTTAATAAGTCATAGGCTTGGAGATGACGGATTAAAACATCTTGCGGATACATTACGAGAAAACAAAGTTAGTTTCTTTTGAATTTCTTTTTCCCTTTCACATACATCTTTCAGACACTTACTGCATTAGCTCTGTGTGGATGTGATATAAGGCATGATGTTGCACAACATTTCAGTGACGCATTGAAACAAAATCAAGTAGACCACTGCTTTTAGTATCTCATATCTCTACAATGCTCTTAGACGTTATCTGCATTGGCTTTGGTTCAGAATCGAATAGATGAAGACGACGCCAAATATCTCGCTGAGATTCTACAGAATAATCAGGTCATTTTTTTACACCCAAATCTTCTTTCTCAAATTTCCATCTTCTTCCTACAGACACTTTCATTATTAGCTATTTATAAAAACAGGATTAGAGATGACGGAATCAAGTGCATAACTGATGCGTTACAGAAAAACAAAGTAAAAAAGTATTTTTCTGCTAATAATCATCGTCTTATCTTCCACTAGACGCTTACTACATTGAGTTTATATGATGTACGTATAAAAGAAGATGGTATTTACCATCTGAATACTATGCTACAACATAACAATGTATGCTAGAAATGTTGTTTATTCCTCAAATTACTTTCTTTCATTTTCATATAGACGCTGAGAAAGTTAGATCTGAACAATGATAGTGTATCACCTGACGTGAGAAATGATCTGCATGCTACCATACGAAAACGAAAAGTAAGAAGTATTCTGTTATATCTAATGGCTAACACCTCATTGTTAAGACACCGATAACAGTATATTGGTCTTTAAACAAATTCCACAATGACGATTCTTCTGATGATGAAGATTGTGCTGAAGTAAAAGAATTTATGTTACAATATTTTGCTATATTTAAGCTTTCTATTTCCATTCAGACAGTTACATATCCACATTTTGTCCAAGAAAATCTGATCTGTAATCTAGCTGAACATTTTACAGAAATCCTACCGGAAATGCAGGTAATCTATTATTCCGATTTTTATCTTGCTCTGTATCTTCTCCAAAATTTGCAGATGCTTCCGGCTTTTACTGAGTTTCTCAACAATCTCAATGATTATCTACTAATGCAAATGGCATCGGGTGAGGGTGGCCGATGCAAGGCGCGAAATCCTATACGTTTTTCATAGGAAGCAGTACTCACTTAAGAACATATAACGTACTTTGAGTATGATTGATTGTTTCTGCATAAATATTAAATGTAAAACTCCTCCTTAACAATATTCATGTGTCTTAACAATATAATAAATGTCACAGAACCACGGATGTTTTCATAAACAAACATTTTGTTCGTTCTGGCTGATATCATTGCTGCGCGTAAAAATAAATAGAAAGAGACTTGAAACTAAAACGTAGCTAGACGATCTTAGTCGGTTGACCTTCACTCATCCCCTTTTCACGATCACCGCGAAATATGCTGTTGGTGTTTTCTTCTTCGATGAATAGAATACTCATTATTAAACGGAAAAGGAACATAACAAATAGTTAAGAGTAAAGCATGATCCAAAGGTGAATGGTATAGATGTTTCGCTTTTCCGGAAAGTCGAACAAGTTCGATCATTCAAATGGAACCAATAGATTTAGGAGTTTTTTAAAAGATATGCATAATGAACAATAACGGTATTGAAAGAATACAGCTGTTGTGCTACTAGAGCTTTCAGTGTAATAGAAAATGATCGTCTGAGAAAGTTAGACCAAGAAGCGACATAGGCGGTTTTATAAGTTGTTATTTTGGAACAATCTGTATTAACAATGTTCTCCGTAAGAAAAGAACGTGTTCGTATCACATTTTATTTCTATATGGTTTGACGATTGAAGCGTAATCTCAGTTTGCGTACAAGAATAATCCTCTCGATGAGAAAATGTTTCGATTTTTGCTATAGTCATCAGATATGATGAAACATGTAAAGATCTTCGAAATGCTCTGTAACCATGGTTTTCACAAACGAAGTAGATTCTTTGTAGTACACGCACGAATACACAACAGTGTCTCTTCAATTTTTCTATTCAAAACATTGACTTTAACAAAGCAAAAAAGAGTTCTAATTCAAATCGATATCAAATTTTTGCACTCGATGATTATTGTAATCCACAACGTAAAGATTTCCCCGTTGATCAAATGCTAAACTGACAGTACAGTTGAATTGATTCATTTCGTCACCTTCACCATTTCCACCAACGATCACACAACCTTCTTGAGCATTTTTCAACCATCTCATAATTCGATGATTTAACGAATCTGCGACATAGAGATTCCCTAGGTGATCAACAAAAATTCCTTGCGGAAGAGATAATTGATTTAATTTATTTCCCGGACCATTGCCACCCGCAACAATAATTCCTTCTCGAGCATCTTTTATCCATTTCATCACACGATTGTTATTACAATCCGAAACATACACTGAATAATCATCATCGACGAATATGTGCGTCGCACAACTTAATTGATTCAGTTCATCTCCCCGACCGTTGCCACCAGCAACAATTTTGCCACATATCTCACCATGCTTCCATCGTCGCACTTCATTCTTCACATGATCCGATACATACAAATCTCCATGCTTGTCCATTGTTAAACCTATACAATCGATATCATGAACTAATGTCTGCAGATATGTCATATTCAAACGCGACCATTGAACAATGCGTCGGTTTCCAGCATCACAGATGATCAATGAATCTGTTCGTTTATCAATGATGACATCCGTCGGACTATTCAGCTGATCTATTCGACAACCTTGGCCCATTCCACCTGCAACAATTCGGCCGTTGGTTTTGCCGTACTTCCATTCAACGACACGATGGTTTTCATAGTCAGCTATATAAACCAAATGATCGTTATCTGTGTCGATACAAATGCCTTGAGGAAAATAAAGTTGATTCATTTGATTGTCTCCACCATTTCCACCGGCAATTGTTGAACCGTACGATTTCCATTTCGTGTGATTGTCGATATTATCTGGCGAGATGAATTGTCCGGATGATATAATAATAGAAATCTTATGTACAAGTGGAATACATTCGCGATGAAGAGTGAGATTCATTGGTTGACGTAGTTGTTGTTGAATTTGCTTGAACTTTTCTTTGAATTTATTCACCTCCACTTCATTGAAATCATTTTCTTCGCGAATTTCTTTGACTTGTTCAGTGAAATTCTCTAAATCCCCTTTGATATTTTCATAGTATTGCTGTCGATGATGCATTAGTACTTCTCGACATTCATTAGCGGTTTTTTGGATTGTTTTGATTGATTCTTGCTCCCATTGATTGATTTGTCTCATTAAATAATCTTGGTTGTACCGACGAATTTGTTCATTGAGATTTTGTTTGAAAATATCTCGATTACGCTCGATGTGATCGAGCTGCCGATTCAATTCTCGTCGATGGACGGTCAAATGATAGTAACAGTAATCTTTTGAACATCCTGTACATTTTGATATGGCTCGTTCTTTGCCGCAATTGAGACAACATGGTTTTTTATTTCTATTCGCCATTGAAACACGACTAATGCTAGACAATGTCACCTCAAGATCGAAGCACACATGTTTGTCGTGTTCTGTTATTCAATTATGTCCGGTGATGATGAAATGTAATTTACTAAAACATGCGACAGTGATAGACAAGGGCATTTACTCATTTTATGCTTCCTAATCGGTAAATTGATGATGAATAGTCTTGATTTATTTCACATGGTGAGAAACAAGTAAAAGGCAGAGAGAAGAAAAATAAAAAAGAATTCTATTCGAAGCAGATCTATCGAAATCTTTGAAAAAATCGATTTCGTACGTAGAATATGGTACGCCAGAAGCATTGAACACATCATGAAACCATACAAGAGGTGTAGACGCATTGACAGGTGATCCCCATGGAAAATATGTTTGTGTTTTACCAGCAACGAGTCCCCAATTGATTGCACCGATTTTTTCTTGACGGAAAAAACGTGTATGGGTATGAAATGTACTACCAGCTGACCGGGCCATATATTCAGTGCAGATCAATGGCCGATTGAATTGACGGAGTTGCGCAACTTGATTTATTGTACCACTTAAAGGCTCGTAACTGTGAAATGTAATGATGTCAGAAGATTCCAATTCGAACACTGATAAGGAAACGTTTAAAGGTTCAGGTAAAATACCGAAAGTAAGCGGTTGGCGTGGATTAGCTTCGAGAGCAGCAGCATACACTTCATGAAGTAATGGTAACACAATAGGAACTTGTTGACTGCATTGAGGCTCATTGTAGAGATCCCAGAAGGCAACACGTGCATCGTTGGAAAAACGAGTTAGAACATCGACGGTGTACCTAATTTTTTAGACAGGAATATTTGATTTAATTGAACATATTTGACTTACTTTTTCAAAAGGGGCCATTTGCTTTGATCCAACAGCCACGCTTGTCCTGGGCATCGTACCCATTGAGAATTATGTTGACCTGGAATAGGATCTGGTTGAGGACCAAGTGCAGGATCTGCTCGCCAACATTCATCGAAAAGAACAAAGACAATTTTAATATGATGTCGATCTGCAATAGTGAGAAAGGCGTCCATCTTCTTATAGAATGCTTCGGGATTCTCTTGATAGAACAGAACATGAAGAAAAACACGCATAATATTCATATTGATATTTGTTGCCCATCCTAATTCACGTTCCATGGTTGCTGTATCAAATGCTTGCCACATATCAATTTCATTTACCGATGTTGAAGGTACGAAATTCGCACCGAAATACCAGGGTTGTTCAGCATACCAAGCATTCGCCTGTTCAGTAGTCCATCGTGCACCATACACTTCGATATGAATGCAAGCAAATACGACTATGAATATTGAAAACAACGTCATGACTACTTCACAGTAAGAAGACCAATTGTAGAAATGTAAAAAATCGAGCTACTTCTTTTTATAACGTAGTTTACGATGTAAAGTGTTAGGTTAGATAAAAAAAAGTAAAGAGTGTTCGTACTGTAGCATATCTTATATAACTAACAAGAGTTTCTAATCTTTACAACGTTTTATTATACACTTAGAGAGTTAAAACACAACGAGTTTTTAAGGTGCGAATGCTGATATTCCGACCTTGGCAATCTTGTAAGACAAAATGAGGTTCCGACATTAATCCAATATTAAAAGTCATAATAATAAAAAAATAAGCACTAGCGAGTTCTTAACATAGTCATTCTTGCTCTTCGTTCAAATTTCAATGAACTAAATGTATCTCTGTAACAGCATCTTTGATATTAATATCAGAAACATAGAAAAACAGTTTCGGGCAAGATTAAAACTTCATTTTCGCTCTTGATATGCACGAGGCTTAAGGATGCGTCCTGAATACGTGAAAGGTATGACTAGTTCTGAATGTTACTCCTTTGTTGTATTAATAGGTCGATAAAAGGGGGCTTCGAGCATGCATCAACGAATAAGCTTTTCTGCTTTTCCATTCATACGAAAATTATTCAACAGTTCATTTGCTTTAGCGTATTCTTTGTGTGACGCGCCGATGCAGAGGTTGATACATTCCTTTAAAGTCTTCGCTTGATATTCTCTCATTTGCTTACCTGATCGAAACAAAAAATCATTTTGCATACTGTTTTACAGTTTCTAGATATTCATCGAAAAGCTCTTGAGCTAGACGTTCTTCCATCGTTTGGCGATTGGTGTATTTTCTACATATCTTGATTCGGATATTTCGTCGAACATGTTGGGAAAACATTCACGTCTGTAGAATCGATCTTGATCTGTACAACACGATCGGAGAAGAAGCCAATGGATTTCTCCTATTTCATAATCTGTACGATCTTGAGAATCGATTAGAAGTTTGATGTTGTCGTAATCGTGTAAAAGAAGACGCACGATGTTTATGATTTAGAGTTCCCATAAAAGATGGTGTTATCATTCCGTGTATCCCCAAATTTAAACAAGCTGACTGGAAGCGATCGCCGTCGGCTCTAGGTGATATGAGTTAGATGTAGGTATTTCAAAAGAAATAATAATAATCAAGTAACCATTGGCGGCAAGATAGATAAAAAAAAGAAACAATGTCACATATTCCTGCTTATAAAACGACAGAAAAAAACCATGTGACTAAAACTAACATAAATATTTATTTATTGATAGACGCATGGTTTTTTTATCGTACAAATACATTACTCTATGAATTCCTTCTTAAAAATCATTTCAAAATTTCTGCTATCTGGTCAGCCCTTCTATTGTGGCATAAGCCAGATGTTTGCTGTAGTTTTACAACGACAGAGCGGTCGGTCGGACAGCAAAAACTTTGAAATGCTCTGGTAATAGATTTACTAAGTTTAGAAATAGAACACCAGGACAATGTTAATTGACTTAATTCATCAGCGATGGACTGTTATTGTTTGAAAATTCAATTAAGATGAATGATAATTAGCTTTTGTTTCTGTTTAGATTAGGTTCAGGCAAGATCAATGTGGATTCAATGTATATAACGATGAATTTTATTCTTTAAATTTTTTTATTAAGCAGAAGGGAACTGTGATTCATAGGCCCTAACAGTATATAAGAGTAAGTCAGAGGAGAAACAAAAAAAAATGGTTAAATAATAACAAGAGTAGCGACTTCACTAAGAACTAATGTGAAACAACAGGAAAATCCTCAAGGACTTGAGTTTGATCAATTTTACAGCTTAGAGCAGAAGAGTGACGGGGGGACTGAACATAACCAATTGACAACTCTTTTAATGACTGATTCATTCAAAACAAATCTTTTAGATCTTATGAAACAATTAATACAAATATCTTTGTTCAGCCAACTATGTCGCAAAACATTTTACTCTTTAACTTATCGACTTTTTGTCATACAATTTAACGAGTTTTTTTTAAATGAATAGTATTTTTCAAAGACGTCTTTATAACATCTGTTCCTGTAAGAAGAAATATCATTTATCATTCGGATTGCCATTATATGATGAACACTGCCATGTTGATTTGTTCTTTAAATATGGATTTTATGCAATCGACTTCAACTTACAACTTGCTAATGGAAGAAAAATCGTATTAATAAATAACCGACATAATTATTCAGAAAAGACTAAATAGGCCCTACTTTCTCGAACAAGCTTCTCCAGAACTTCTACATCGACAAACTCATTTATCGAGTTTCTTCAAATTGATAAACGTCCCTGCAAATATCTGATAGTATGAAGAATTTTTTGCTGAAACATTGCACAGAAAACTTTGTAAGTCGCACTAAACTCAAAACAATTATTCCGCTTTATCATTAAGAAGGGTGCGGCTTCAATCATATTCAATAACAAAGATTCATCTACTACAAACAAACGCAATCTTGACAGTACGGGTGATTCCGTCTGGGAATTCACACTGCGAGGACATTTGAAAGGGCGGTAAAACAAAATATTGTTGTCGACGGAACTGACTCCAAATGTGCAAAATTACGAAATGGGATTTGTTCTCTTCAGAAATTAGGTACTTGAAAGGCTGTGTGAAGTGTACGAAATCTCGCTTTTTCTGTACTGAACTCTTCAAATACTCAGAGGATATTGAAAATAGCAACTAGTATATCATATACATAAGAAGAAAAAGAACTGTTTGATATATTTGAAAAAATAATTTATTGCTTTTTGGCAACTATTTGATCAAGACTAGTCGATGGACATCCAAATTGTGGACCAAATATTGGGTCTAAATTTGCTGTAAGATAATTGAGTATGGCCAATGGAGTTGTAACAAGTGTTTCTATTTGTGATGGCACAACGGATAAAATGGTTTGATATAAGAAACATAAAATTCCATTGACCGTTTGCTTGTCCAATGTTAATTGCAGAGGATTAAGAATAAATGAATTTGGCCGACCAGTATTTCCGCCAAATAAAGCGATATGTTCTAAATATAATTTCAATATTTCCACAGCAACATCAACTAAAGTATACGGTGTTTCTCGCTTGTACCAATTGGAAGGAATTCGTTCAGGTGTGGCTGCCCATTTCCCATTTCCAGTTTGTTTCGCACCAAAAAATGAAGAAATGACTTTTTCCGTCGGTAATTTATCTGTTCCATTAGGAAACAATTCATACAGAAATGTTGCAGCTCCATAGAGCAGAAGTGCTTGTGGAGGGAAAAGAAATTGTCCATTTTCTGTCAGTTATTGTTGGTAACGCTTGTAACGGTAATCAGCCATTGCTTTCCAACTGTATAATCCATTATTTTTTTGCGCTTCAGCATACATCATTCCATACAAAGTACCATTGAATCGAAAATTATCTCCGTCAGCTAAATAATAATCATTACGAGTTAAGGATGTATCACCTTCAAATTTATTGTGCGCATTTAGTCCACCCGGTGTACGTAAAAGTCCTGGAACAGCTGATGATTCTTTTCCAATGGATAACTTGCCAGTTAGAATATCTCCATCGAGTGCCACACCAACTGTTGCTAAAACAATAGCTAGATCTAAACCTACATTATATAAATCTTGCTGCATTTGAACCAATTCTGCGAGTGTTGTTATGCCACTGCGACTGATAAAACCATGATTTGCAGCTGCGTTCAAACCTGGACACGGACCGCGAATATCATTGGGGCCTGGTTCTTGAAATGGATGGAAAATATCCGGTTGTAACTTGGACGCCAAATATGGGTACGAATCGCATTGATGAACAGATAGAACCAATATGAAGACGATCGACGAAATCATCACAGAAGTATTGCACAGCTTAGAATGAACAACTAACTCAGGTATTTTACTCTTTATACCCGATGGGTGTTAAGAGTGCGTCATATTTTTTGTTAACACAATATCTGAATGACGTCAATAAAAAAAAGACAGGGGTTTAGTATCAATCAGTTCGTGCATATTTATAGAATAGCACATGTGTTTTTGTTTTCTGCTCTGCTCGGATGGTGCGCATGTTTTTATTAACATAGACAGTACAACATCGAGAAATGCATTTTTTCTTTTCGAACGTCTCATTAACTCTGATGTTNGAGATTGATTATCTGACTCAATCGAACTTGACGAAGTTCAGCGAAGGTATTGAGCTCCTGCGTCAAATTATCGATGAACATGAAAAAGCAGGGATCCAGCAAATTGAAGAAAACGGTTCGAAGGATAAGAAGAAAATCGAAGAATATGAAAAGCACTTGCAAAATGAGCATCAAAAGTTTCACGTACAACATGCGCTTTTCCAAACACTTGATTGCACGGGTAACAATACCAAATTACTACAATTGAAACGAAAATTCTCCGAATATACGAGAAAAACAATTCAAGATTTAAGTGCCCTTCATCCACCTATCATTACAGATCTTCGTCTCGAAGGATTCGATCAATTGGAAACGTTGAAGAACGGTATACAGGAGTATGGACGCTGCGTGGAAATTCCTCCATCAACAAACACGCAACTGAAGAACCATATTTTTTTAAACTCAAAGCGAGCCAAACTCTCCGTCCATTATCAAAAATTCATTGGACAAGATATGAAGTATGTCATCGATGTACTACGATGCAATCTAGTAAGAGCTATCGATACCAAACATTGTTGACGTGAAGAATATTCTTTCCTACATAGACTGTAAGTACACTACGTTTCTATGAATGTGAAATAGACGAAGTGGCATTAAAATATATCGCTGAAACATTGAGATACAACAAAGTAATCGATTTGCATTGACTGGACTCTCATGATGTTTGACTGTTGTTCTGTTTAGACATTAACAACACTTACTTTGATTGCAAATGAGATCGATGCTGATAAAATTAAAGTATTAACAGCTGTATTGCAAGAGAATAAGGTTATATATCAATTTGATTTTAGTGCTTTTTTTAAAGTAAATCTTCATATTGATGTAGACTCTGGCGACCTTGGAATTGTTTGAAAATGATATCGGAGATGGTGGCATGCAGCATTTGGCCAATGCATTAAAACAAAATACGGTACCATAGTGCATGTATATATATGTACATCAACTCTTTTATTGTATCTCTGTAGACATTGCTGAAACTCAGTTTACATGACAATGAGTTACATGCGGATGGAGCAAAATACATAGCTGATATGCTGCGAGAAAACAAGGTCATTTTTGAAAACCTTCTTGAAAATCAATCCGATTTTTGATTGCAATGTAGACATTGACTACTTTAAATATATCTGAAAACGAAATTGGCAATGCTGGAGCACAATATTTGGCCACGGTGTTACAAGAAAACAAAGTAATTGAAAATCTTCTTATATTTCAGATGTTCACTTTTTCATTTTCAGTCATTGATCACATTGTGCCTCAATGATAATGAAATAACAACTGAAGGGATAAAGCATCTAAGCGATGCACTATCTCATAATAACGTAATTCTCACTTGTGCTTGTCTAACTATCATGTATTCATGAGAATGTTTCTCAGACACTCAAGACATTGTATTTGGCAGGCAACACCTTGCAAGATGGAAGTGTTAACCATCTGGCCACTGCTTTACGAACAAATAAAGTGATCCCCTGGATATTTTCTTACCTTATGCTTAGGTCATATTTACTATTTAGACACTTTCGACATTGTTCTTAATCAACAGTGGTTTTGGAGATGATGGAGCACAATATTTATCTGAAGCATTGCGAAACAATCAAGTAACTCCAATCATCTCATCTTCTGTACATAATCTTGTATTCAAAAAAGACACTCACCACATTGGTACTCGTTAATCAAATTTCTGATAACGGAATGAAACATTTGGCCGATTCATTACAAGAGAACAAAGTAACTTATCTAGTAGAAGATTTCTCGTTGTAAATTTTATTTGTTCCAGACACTCACGACATTAGGTCTCGTTCCCGATAAAGTTAAAATTGATGCAGCAAAGTATTTAGCTAATGTTTTACAACATAACAAAGTAATTCAGTATTTTACATCCTATTAATCTCCTTAGTTGCATAGACACTTACGACATTTGTTCTCTATGCGATGGGATTAGGAGATGAAGGAACTAAATGTATCAGTGATGCATTGCGTTTGAATAATGTAATTCCACATCTGATTATTTTTGAAAGTCTTTCAACTCTCTCTCTCTTTTTCTGCCATAGACACTTAGCACATTATGTTTAATAAGTCATAGGCTTGGGAACGACGGATTAAAACATCTTGCGGATACATTACGAGAAAACAAAGTTAGTTTCTTTTGAATTTCTTTTTTCTTTTCACCTACATCTTTCAGACACTTACTGCGTTAGCTCTGTGTGGATGTGATATAAGGGATGATGTTGCACAACATTTCAGTGACGCATTGAAACAAAATCAAGTAGACCACTGTCTTTATTATCTCATATCTCTACAATTGTCTTAGACGTTATCTGCATTGGCTTTGGTTGAGAATCGAATAGATGAAGACGACGCCAAATATCTCGCTGAGATTCTACAGAATAATCAGGTCATTTTGTTACACCCAAATCTTCTTTCTCAAATTTTCATCTTCTTCCTACAGACACTTTCACTATTAGCTATTTATAAAAATAGGATCAGAAATGACGGAATCAAATGCATAACTGATGCGTTACAAAAAAACAAAGTAAAAAATTATTTCTCTGCTAATAATCATCGTCTTATCTTCCACTAGACACTTACTACATTGAGTTTATTTGATGTACGTATAGAACAAGACGGAATTAACCATCTGAATACTATGCTACAACATAACAATGTATGCTAGAAATGTTGTTTATTCCTCAAATTACTTTCTTTCATTTTCGTATAGACGCTGAGAAAATTAGATCTGAACAATTATAATGTATCACCTGACGTGAGAAATGATCTGCATGCTACCATACGAAAACGAAAAGTAAGAAGTATTCTGTTATATCTAGTGGCTAACACCTCATTGTTAAGACACCGATAACAGTATATTGGTCTTTAAACAAATTCCTCAATGACGATTCTTCTGATGATGAAGATTGTGCTGAAGTAAAAGAATTTATGTTACAATATTTTGCTATATTTAAGCTTTCTATTTCTATTCAGACAGTTACATATCCACCTTTTGTTCAAGAAAATCTGATCTGTAATCTAGCTGAACATTTTACAGAAATCCTACCGGAAATGCAGGTAATTTATTATTCCGATTTTATCTTGCTCTATATCTTCTCCAAATTTTGCAGATGCTTCCGGTTTTTACTGAGTTTCTCAACAATCTCAATGATTATCTAATAATGCAAATGGTATCGTCAACGGGGAACCAGCGAAATCTTATAAGTTTGCCAGAAGCGGTAGTATCGGTTTAAGAACATATAACGTACTTTGAGTATGATTGATTGTTTCTGCATAGATATTAAATGTAAAACTCCTCTAACAATATTCATGTGTCTTAACAATATAATAAATGTCACAGAACCACGGATTTTTTCATAGACAAACATCCTGTTCGTTCTGACTGATATCATTCCTACGAGTAAAAATAAATAGAAAGAGACTTGAAACTAAAATGTAGCTAGGCAATCTTAGTCGGTTCACCTTCGCTCATCCCTCTTTCACGATCACCACGAAATATGCTGTTGATGTTTTCTTCTTCGATGAATAGAATACTCGTTATTAAACGGAACAGGAACATAACAAATAGTTAAGAGTAAAGCATGATCCAAAGGTGAATGGTATAGATGCTTCGCTTTTCCGGAAAGTCGAACAAGTTCGATCATTCAAATGGAACCAATAGATTTAGGAGTATTTTAAAAGATATGCATACTGAACAAGAACGGCATTGAAAGAATACAACAGTTGTGCTACTAGAGCTTTCAGTGTAATAGAAAATGATGGTCTGAGAAAGCTAGGCCAAGAAGCGACATAGGCGTTTTGATAGGTTGTTTTTGTAGAACAATCTGTATTAACAATGCTCTTCGTAAGAAAAGAGCGGGTTCGTATCTTATTTTATTTCTATGGCTGACGATTGAAGCGTAATCTCAGTTTGTGTACAAGAATAATCCTCTCGATCAGGAAATATTTCGAGTTTTGCTATAAAGTCATCAGATATGATGAAACATGTAAAGATCTTCGAAATGCTCTGTAACCATGGTTTTCACAAACCAAGTAGATTCTTTGTAGTACACGCACGAATACACAACAGTATCTCTTCAATTTTTCTATTCAAAACATTGACTTTAACAAAGCAAAAAAGAGTTCTAATTCAAATCGATATCAAATTTTTGCACTCGATGATTATTATAATCCACAACGTAAAGATTTCCCCGTTGATCAAATGCTAAACTGACAGTACAGTTGAATTGATTCATTTCGTCACCTTCACCATTTCCACCAACGATTACACAACCTTCTTGAGCATTTTTTAACCATCTCATAATTCGATGATTTAACGAATCTGCGACATAGAGATTCCCTAGGTGATCAACGAAAATTCCTTGCGGAAGAGATAGTTGACTTAATTCATTTCCCGGACCATTTCCACCCGCAACGATAATTCCTTCTCGAGCATTTTTCATCCATTTCATCACACGATTGTTGTTACAATCCGAAACATACACTGAATAGTCATCATCGACAAATATGTGCGTCGCACAACTTAATTGATTCAGTTCGTCTCCTCGACCATTGCCACCAGCGACAATTTTGCCACATATCTCGCCATGTTTCCATCGTCGCACTTCATTCTTAACATGATCCGATACATACAAATCTCCATGATTGTCCATTGTTAAACCTATACAATCGATATCATGAACTAATGTCTGCAGATATGTCATATTCAAACGCGACCATTGAACAATGCGTCGGTTTCCAGCATCACAGATGATCAATGAATCTGTTCGTCTATCAATAATGACATCCGTCGGACTATTCAGCTGATCTATTCGACAGCCTTGACCCGTTCCACCTGCAACGATTCGGCCGCTGGTTTTGCCGTACTTCCATTCAACGACACGATGGTTTTCGTAGTCAGCTATATAAACCAGATGATCGTTATCTGTATCGATACAAATGCCTTGAGGAAAATAAAGTTGATTCATTTGATTGTCGCCACCATTTCCACCGGCAATTGTTGAACCGTGCGATTTCCATTTCGTGTAATTGTCGATATTATCCGGCGAGATGAATTGTCCGGATGATATAATAATAGAAATCTTATGTACAAGTGGAATACATTCGCGGTGAAGAGTGAGATTCATTGGTTGATGTAGTTGTTGTTGAATTTGTTTGAACTTTTCTTTGAATTTATTTACCTCCACTTCATTGAAATCATTTTCTTCGCGAATTTCTTTGACTTGTTCAGTGAAATTCTCTAAGTTCCTTTTGATCTTTTCATAGTATTGCTGTCGATGATGCATTAGTACTTCTCGACATTCATTAGCGGTTTGTTGGATTGCTTTGATCGATTCTTGCTCCCATTGATTGATTTGTCTCATCAAATAATCTTGGTTGTATCGACGAATTTGTTCATTGAGATTTTGTTTGAAAATATCGCGATTACGCTCGATGTGATCGAGCTGCCGATTCAATTCTCGTCGATGGACGGTCAAATGATAGTAACAATAATCTTTTGAACATCCTGTACATTTTGAAATGGCTCGTTCTTTACCGCAATTGAGACAACACGGTTTTTTATTTCTATTCGCCATTGAAACACGAATAATGCTAGACAATGTCACCTCAAGATCGAAGTACACATGTTTGTCGTGTTCTGTTATTCAATTATGTCCGGTGATGATAAAATGTAATTTACCAAAACATGTGACAATGATGGACAAGGGCATTTACTCATTTTATGCTTCCTAATCGGTAAATTGCTGATGAATAGTCTTGATTTATTTCACATGGTGAGAAACAAGTAAAAGGCAGAGAGAAGAAAAATGAAAAAGAATTCTACTCGAAGCAGATCTATCGAAATCTTTGAAAAAAGCGATTTCGTACGTGGAATACGGTACACCAGAAGCATTGAATACATCATGAAACCATATAAGAGGTGTAGAGGCATTGACAGGTGATCCCCATGGAAAATATGTTTGTGTTTTACCAGCAACGAGTCCCCAATTGATTGCACCGATATTTTCCTGACGGAAGAAACGTGTATGGGTATGAAATGTACTACCAGCTGACCGGGCCATATATTCAGTGCAGATCAATGGCCGATTGAATTGACGGAGTTGCGCAACTTGATTTATTGTACCACTTAAAGGTTCGTAACTGTGAAATGTAATGATGTCAGAAGATTCCAATTCGAACACTGATAAAGAAACATTTAAAGGTTCAGGTAAAATACCGAAAGTAAGTGGTTGGCTTGGATTAGCTTCGAGAGCAGCAGCATACACCTCATGAAGTAATGGTAACACAATAGGTACTTGTTGACTGCATTGAGGCTCATTGTAGAGATCCCAGAAGGCAACACGTGCATCGTTGGAAAAACGAGTTAGAACATCGACAGTGTACCTAATTGTTTATACAGGACTATTAGATTTAGTTGAACATATTAGAATTACTTTTTCAAAAGAGGCCATTTGCTTCGATCCAACAGCCACGCTTGTCCCGGACACCGCACCCATTGAGAATTATGTTGACCTGGAATAGGATCTGGTTGAGGACCAAGTGCAGGATCTGCTCGCCAACATTCATCGAAAAGAACAAAGACAATTTTAATATGATGTTGATCAGCGATAGTGAGAAAGGCGTCCATCTTCTGATAGAATGCTTCGGGATTCTCTTGATAGAACAGAACATGAAGAAAAACACGCATAATATTCATATTGATATCTGTTGCCCATCCTAATTCACGTTCCATAGTTGCTGTGTCAAATGCTTGCCACATATCAATTTCATTTACCGATGTTGAAGGTACAAAATTCGCACCGAAATACCAGGGTTGTTCAGCATACCAAGCATTCGCCTGTTCAGCAGTCCATCGTGCACCATACACTTCGATATGAATGCAAGCAAATACGATTATGAATATTGAAAACAATGACATGACTACTTCGCAGTAAGACCAATGTAGAAATGTAAAAAATCGAGTTACTTCTTTTTTATAACGTAGTTTACAATGTAAAGTGCTAGGTTAGATAAAAAAAGTAAAGAGCGTTCGTATTGTAGCATATCTTATATAAGTAACAAGAGTTTCTAATCTTTACAACGTTTTATTATACATTTAAAAAGTTAAAACGCAACGAGTTTTTAAGGTGCGAATGCTGATATTCCGACCTTGACAATCTTATAAGACAGAACGAGATTCCGACATCAATCAAATATTAAAAGTCATAATAATAATAAGCACTAACGAGTTTTTGGCATAATCATGTTTGCTCTTCGTCCAAATTTCAATGAACTAAATGTATCTCTGTAACAGCATCTTTGATATTAATATCAGACACATAGAAAACAGTTTCGGGCAAGATTAGAACTTCATTTTCGCTCTTGATATGCGCGAGGCTTAAGGATGCGTCGTGAATACGTGAAAGGTATGAATAGTTCTGAACATCACTCCTTTGTTATATTAATAGGTCGATAAAAGGGGGTTTCGAGCATGCATTAACGAATAAGCTTTTCTGCTTTTCCATTCATACGAAAATTATTCAACAGTCCATTTGCTTTAGCGTATTCTTTGTGTGACGCGCCGATGCAGAGATTCATATTCTCTCGCTTGTTTGCCTGGTCGAAGCAACAAAATCGTCTTGTAGATTGTTTTGACACTTTCTCATACATCTAATCGTCGAAAAGACGATTCGAGTATTAAAATTTTAAATTCTGGCTTTCGAATTCTAAACTTCTTAAATTATGACTGGGTGGGGTATGGGTGAAGTTGTGGAAGTTTGAAAGTGTAAAACTGCAAGAAGGTTTAATACTCGAATCGAGTTAACGATTTCTACAGTACTCACTATACTATTGACGAAATCGAGCTGAGTGCACTCTGGTAACAGTCACAAAGTGTATTAAATCCGCGTTTTATTTGACGGAATTCGTTAAGATTGTATTCGATGAATACAATTCAGATTTTATTGAAATTAGAATCATTGCCACGTACAGTTCAAACTCAGGGTATGAAAATGTAAATAACGGTCGTATTTTCCATCTTAAATAAAAGCTTATTTTTTCTCGACTTCGTCGTTTTTGCTTTCAATTTTAGGGGACTGGCGCAGCTTCTTCAGTTGCTCAATGATTTGATTTTGATCTGTATTTTGAAACACAGTCCACCACCAATGTCTTGACGTACGATACGTTCCAAGTAAGCTACATAAGCTATTGAAATCAACTTCGGGCATTTTAAGGATATGATCATAAGGATAAAATGGTTTGACCGTTTTTGCGATGACATGCTCAAAAATTCGACGTCGGCTTGCACGCATTTTATCTTGTATGTACTCAACTAACCGGTTATCAATGTCGCATTCGTCGAGATTGGGAAATGTAGTGAATATAACTGTTGACACTTCTTTGACCATTTCTAAATCACTTTTGCTCTGAAGCTCACTCCAAAACGATCCGATAGACTCATGGTTCAGAAAATCACAAAATGTTAAACAAATAGCAAAGTTTTCCGGTTTAGCACCCATCAATCGAAAGAAGTTGTAGAGGATATTAAGATCCTCACTCATCTTCATTCGCAAACGATCCATTTTGAAGCAAAACACAACTTTATGAATTTGAGCCATATTTCGCGGCATACACTCAACGATTTCTTTCAATATACTTCCGACACTAATGTTATTATCACCTAAACCGACTGTATCGAATAGATTCACCACATATCTAGCTCAAATCAAAGTAAAGCACATTTGCTAAAGAATATGTATTTAACTAACCGGTCTCTTGGCTCCTTTGGATTTTTTATTTCGTTACCTTCGTAAAACTGAATATTTCGTGTAACCGATTTGATTGACATTTTTGTCAGCACATTATCTCTATGTTCTGATGAGCACACACTTTTGATAATGGAGCTTTTACCAGATCCCGTTAAACCAACGATCAGCACATTGACGTTTCTTACAGGTTCAGCAGTGATGTCGTCAGCATCATCATACGATTTAAAGTCAATTGTAGCCATGAAAGAAGGAACTGAATAACGATATTGTGATATGATATTAGTTTGTGCCTTTTATACATAGCTGTCATTATGATTAGATCTTTCAGCAGAGAAAATTCCAAGTTAAATAAATGACGAGGCGGGTAGAATTTCAAGTCAAATAGATGACGAGGCGGGTAGAATTTCAAGTTAAATAAATGACGAGGTGGGGAAAATTCACAGTAGTGTAGAAATCATTAACTCGATTCGAGTATCAAAACTTTCGTTAGAATTCTGAATCTTTCAATTTAGTATTCGAGTTTTGAACTATTCAACTTCCACCGTCACCCTGGAGTACTCGAATTCTAAACTCAAAAATTTAGAGGTTGAATAGTTTACAACTCTGAGTGATGTCGTAATCCCGTTACACCCGGTATTCATCCAAAAGTAGGCAATCTGCTATGTTACCATATGCAGCTGAATCGGTGTATCCAAAACGATACCCAAATAGAAGAGTATCCTAGAAAGCTAAGGAATGTGAGTGGATTTGGTGTATCCAGCTCGATACCCCTGCCTGTGTGTGTTGGGTACCTGACGAATGCGAGTAAATTTCGTGTATTCAGCCACCACCCACACCGTAACCCTCGCCCTCACCCACCCCCATGTGTCACTGTTGATATTCCGACCTTGACAATCTTGTACGACAGAAGGAAGTTTCGACTAGGGGTGGCACTTTAACTTTAACTTTAAAGGAAAAGTTAAAGTTTAAAGTTGCTTAAAAACATAAAATAAAGAAGTTTAACGCGACTTTAAAGAACTTTATACTTTAACTTTTTCTTTAAAGTTAAAGTTAAAGTGCCACCCCTAGTTTCGACATCAATCAAATATTAAAAATTATAAGAATAAGCATCAGCGAGTTATGGACGTAATCGCTCGTCTTCTTCGTCTAAATTTAAATGTATCTTTGTAACAGGATCTTTGAGTTGGATATTCGAGACATAGAAGATAGTTTCAGGCACGATAAGAACTTCATCTTCGCTCTCGAAATCCGATATATATATATATATATCGAGATCTTTTTTAGTCATATCTACACCGCGGTAACGATTGCTTTGAAACGCACGAGGTTTAAGTGTTCGTCGTGAATATATTAATAGTATATATAGTTTTGAACTTGACTGGTTTGTTGTGTTAATTTGATCGATAAAAAGGGTTTTGAGTATAAATAAACGAATAAGCTTTTCTGCTTTTCCATTCATACGAAAATTATTCAACAGTCCATTTGCTTTAGCGTATTCTTTGTGTGACGCGCCTATGCAGAGGTTGATACGCTCCTTTAAAGTCTTCGCTTGATATTCTCTCGTTTGCTTACCCGATCGAAACAAAAAATCATTTTGTATATTGTTTTACAGTTTCTAGATATTCATCGAAAAGCTCTTGAGTTAGACGTTCTTCCATTGTTTGTCGATCGGTATATTTTCTACATATCTTGACTCGGATATTTCGTCGAACATGTTGGGAAAACATTCACGTCTATAGAATATCAGAGTGAAGCTAGCACGAAGAAACTGTGTGTAAGCTAAAACCATTTTTCCAAAGTTTGTCCGGTGAATAAAACCTAGTCCATTCGATTCAGAATTTAATTCTGCATCGAATGGTGTTATGTTTATTCACCGGACAAACTTTGGAAAAAAGTTTTTAGCTTGCACACAGCTTCTTCGTGCTAGCTTCACACTGATGAAATAAAACCTTTGTTCAGCCAATTTTGTCGCAAAACATTTTATTTTTTAAGTTATCGACTTGTTGTCATACAGTTTAACGAGTTTTTGTTTAAATGAATAGTATTTGTGAAAGAAGTCTTTATAACATCTGTTCATATAAGAAGAAACATCATTTATCATTCGGATTGCCATTATATGATGGACACTGCCATGTTAATTTATTCTTTAAATACGGATTTTATGCAATCAACTTCAACTTACAATTAACTAATGGAAGAAAAATCGTATTAATAAATAACCGACATAATTATCAGAGGTAGCTCATTAGTTTTATGATCGAAAATCTAAATGTTAAAATCTTCATAACGTACGGTATTCATCCAAAAGTTATTCGATATAATCAAGTACGTTCATTAGAGGAGTTCAACAATATTTTTAGCAACAAAATGAACTTAAATACAAGCAAACTCGCTACTGGAGGGTGCGACATCGATGATACTAGTATATATTCGCTCGATTTGCAACCGCTTATATTTCGATCTAAACTTCAAATAGCAACGACAATGGATATTCTAGCGGTTCTTCATGGGCGCAGCAAAATTTTTTTCGAGTGATGCTGATAGAATTCAAATCATTTAAAAAAAACACAATATCCAATGGCTTTACGTGAACACAACCAGCAATTTAAAGATTATGTCAGACTTCTTAAATGATTTCAATAATTCATTCATCGACTTTGATGGATCAACCATCACACAAGAAGATCCAGAATCACAAAAAATTATTCAACTATTGGTTGATTGCTCAAAGAAATATCATTGATCATATAATTCTCGAAACCTATTTTCCATTTTTACGTCCACCTGAATTAGGACCACATCAATATACATCAGTCAGCGGAATAGCATTTACGGCACAATATATTGTTAACATTTTAAGAATAAAAAACATGCATACGACCCAATTAATGGGCAAATGAGATAAGAACATTGAACGAATGCATGTCATCGATTCAATAAAAAAGTTCGTTTGTTTTTTTTGTTTTCGTACAACATACTGGTTACTTTTTCTTGAATAAAAACTATTAACCAAATAAGTGAATAATTCGGACAGAAAACTGTGAACCCTGTATCAACAATAAAAGGAATGTTTAACAATCGTATGTCACATTGAATCAGAACATCCGTGGGTGTAATATCTGAATAAACCATCACAAAAGACTAAATAGGCCCTACTTTCTTGAACAAGCATCTCCAAAATTTCTACATCGACAAACTCATTTATCAAGTTTCTTCAAATTGATAAACGTCCATGCGAATACTTGATAGTTTGAAGATTCTTTTGCTGAAATATGCACAGAAAACTTTGTAAGTCGCACTAAACTCAAAAACAATTATTTCGCTTTATCATTAAGAAGCGTGGCTCCAATCATATTCAATAGCAAAAATTCATCTACTAGAAACACCGTCTTGACAGTACGAATGATTCCGTCTGGGAATTCACACCGCAAGGACATTTTAAAGGGTGGTCAGACAAAATATTGATATCGACGGAACTGGCTCCACATGTGCAAAATTACGAAATGGGATTTGTTCTCTTCAGAAATGAGGTACATCAAAGGCTGTGAAGTGTACGAAATCTCGCTTTTTCTGTACATGAACTCATCAAATACTCAGAGAATATTGGAAATAGCAACTAGTATATCACATACGTAAGAAGAAAAGTAACTGTTTGATATATTTGAAAAAATGGTTTATTGCTTTTTGGCAACTATTTGATCTAAACTAGTCGATGGACATCCAAATTGTAGACCAAATATTGGGTCTAAATTTGCTGTAAGATAATTGAGTATGGCCAACGGAGTTGTAACAAGCGTTTCTATTTGTGATGGCACAACTGATAAAATGGTTTGATACAAGAAGCATAAAATTCCATTGACCGTTTGCTTGTCCAATGTTAATTGCGGAGGATTAAGAATAAATGAATTTGGCCGACCAGTATTTCCGCCAAATAAAGCGATATGTTCTAAATATAATTTCAATATTTCAACAGCAATATCAGCTAAAGTATACGGTGTTTCTCGCTTGTACTAATTCGAAGAAATTCGTTCAGGTGTGGTTTCCCATTTCCCATTTTCAGTTTGTTTCGTACCAAAAAATGAAGAAATGACCTTTTTCGTAGGTAACTTATCTGTTCCATTAGTTAACAATTCATACAGAAATGTTGCAGCTCCATAGAGCAGAGGTGCTTGTGGAGGGAAAAGAAATTGCCCATTTTCTGCTATTGACTGTTGATAACGCTTGTAACGGTAATCAGCCATTGTTTTTTGCGCTTTAGCCTACATCATTCCGTATAGAGTACCATTGAATCGAAATTATCTCCGTCAGCTAGATAATAGTCACTACGAGTTAAGGATGTATCACCTTCAAATCAATTGTGCGCATTTAGTTCGCCCAGTGTACGTAAAAGTCCTGGAACAGCTGATGATTCTTTTCCAATGAATAACTTACCAGTTAGAATATCACCATCAAGTGCCACAGTAACTGTTGCTAAAACAATAGCTAGGTCTAAACCTACATTATATAAGTCTTGATGCATTTGAACCAATTCTGCGAGTGTTGTTATGCCACTGCGACTGATAAAACCATGATTTGCAGCTCCGTTCAAGCCTGGACACAGACCGCGAATATTATTAGGACCTGATTCTTGAAATGGGTGGAAAGCATCCGGTTATAACTTGGACGCTAGATATGGATACGAATCACATTGATGAACAGAGAGACCAAATCTGAAGACGATCGATGAAATCATAACAGTATTATTGCAAGGCTTAGAATGATCAACTAACTCAGACATTTTACTCTTTGTACTCGATGAGTGTTAAGAGTGCGTCATATTTTTTGTTAACACAATATCTGAACNATAAAAAAAAGACAGGGGTTTAGTATCAATCAGTTCGTGCATATTTATAGAATAGCACATGTGTTTTTGTTTTCTGCTCTGCTCGGATGGTGCGCATGTTTTTATTAACATAGACAGTACAACATCGAGAAATGCATTTTTTCTTTTCGAACGTCTCATTAACTCTGATGTTCAAAAGGCATTCTCATTGCAGTCGGTACATGACGAACTGGTTGAGTTTGAATCGGATCATCATACAAATTCGTTGCAAAATAGTCGTGACGTTAGGCAATGAATATAGAAGTTGATCTATTACATAAATATAACAGTCAATTCATCATTCTTTCCGTATATCTTCCAGTTTTCATCATATGCTCTAGTAAATATCCATCTACCGCGAATTACGAGTCGCACCTGTTAAAACTTGTTATGTTCCAACAATTCGACCGAAACTAACACGTAAATGTTGTCGCATAAAAGACGAGAATACTGGCTACCGTTAGAATTAAATTAACATATGCTTATGTAAATGTTTTCGACGTGTATTGTGTGATTAAGATGATTGAATACGAGATTTATATAGACTAATGAATTACTCGACGAATATCCAAACTGCCAATAAGCATCAAAGTGATTGGGATCAGACAGTTACAAAGAGCCTAAAATAGAAATGAAAGATTAATTTTTGAGCAAATCAAATTTGCCGCCTACTTGGATAAAAGTTCGTGATATAGAATAGATTTTTGTGTATGAACTAAAAGAATCGACGGATCCGCATGCGTAAGCTGCAATGCCCGGGGATGAACCAGCAAAAAATGCAGCACTTAATATTTGACTTTGTAAAGCAACATCGATAATTATATTGTAAATAAAATGGCTAATGCAACAGTTCGATATGTACATTATGTATTGACTTTGAATGGATATCGCGTTCATAAACCATCGATCAATGGTAGTGAATACTAAATACCAAACTGTCAAAATCAAGAACAGGTGGTTTGTTGAAAGAGCGCGTAGCGTAGGTTGCATGAACGTATCACACTTGCTAGATTACTTATAGAATCCAGAAGAAATATAAAACTCAATCCTCAACGGTACAGATATACTCTCCTTTATATGATTTTTCTACATTAATTTTACTTAACTTCCGAAAGAAAACCATAGACTCTTCTCCGCTACAGTTTATTCAATTGTATATCTTTTTACTTCTAAACCTTCTTACCAAAGTTGACATACTAATCTCTGAACGACTAGGCAATACTCTTTAGTTCATCAGCATCATCTCCATCTGTATATCAATACCTCTGATGGTCATTGAAAAAAGAAAGTACTTTCATTTGTAAATGCCGTCACATGCTCTTCACTGTAAGTCATGAATATTCACCACATGACTGGATACTCTCAGCTCAAAGTCTTTTGACGAGCAGAAGCGTAAATGCGAAAATTATACTATTGCTAAAGGTTACCTTAAGCTTTGTTATCGATACAGATATAAACACAAAAAGTCATGACATAACGCCATCCCGAGAGAAAAGAAAAATAACAAGCTCCACTGTGATATAGGTGCTTTTTCATTGAAGGACGGAAAATATGCATATGTATAGATACTTGAATCATCACAAATGACAAGTCGGTTTTTTTTTCATTCTGTTCTTCTATATTCGTCATGTTATCAGAGAATGAAAAATATGCTCTCGAACTATCTTACGTTTTCTATGTAAATTATGCTATCTTGTTAATATATAACAAAAAACGTCTACTTTTTCATTTGTCATAAACAAAACTAAACCGTTTCACGTATTTGATAAGATAATGAGTAACGGCGCGCAGTTCTATCCAACTAAACAGACTGAGCTTGAACATTTCTGGTTTGATTCAAGGATCTGGAATGATTTTAAATATCGCGATGATGATATCGTTATTGACACGTTTCCAAAATGCGGCACGACATGGATGCAACAAATCATTGCCCAATTGATATTCAACGGAGTAGAAAACATCCAAATCAATCGTATTTCCCCATGGCTTGACTTTCGTTTCAATAAAGATCTATTCGGTTCAGACGAAAAGCTTCTGCAAGAACTCGAACAGCAAACGCATCGAAGGTTCATTAAAACTCATTTACCTTTCCATGCACTGGTCTATTCTCCTCAAGCTAAATACATTTTCGTCGCTCGAGACGGTCGGGATGCTGCATGTAGTTCTTACAACCACCAAATTAATATGACGGTTACAGATTCAAAGAAACCGAATTCAGCTCATGAAGTTTTTCAGAATGAAATCTTGGGTAATTCAAAAATGTCCTTCTTTGCACATTTGAGATCATGGTGGAACATGCGCCATTTAGCAAACGTACTTTTCGTTCATTACTGTCGACTGAAAACAGACTTACCCAATGAAATCAAACGAATTGCAACTTTTCTCGATATCGATATTGATCCTTCGCGATGGAATGATATTTTACAGCATTGCTCGTTCGATTATATGCGAGCAAATGCCGATAGAATGGTGGAAAACACAATGTATATCGGCGGTGCGAAAACATTTTTCTGTAAAGGAACAAATAATCGATGGAAAGGTATCCTAACAGATGAGGATAGTAGGAATTATCAAAAACGCGTTAGAGAAGAATTCGATGACGAAGGCGCTCGTTGGATTTTGACAGGTGAATTAACAGAATGATGAAATCGTCTTTATCTGTGTATTCGTTCAAAAACAATAAAAAAAGCAGAAAGAAAAAGCAATCATTTTGCAGCTTCTAAAGTGATTTTATTTTTTGTAGGTGAGCAGAAGTAAATACGTGTTTAAATAAGGTAGCGGAACGACAGAAATAGCTATGATGCAGTGTAAAACGCAGGTATATGATATTCTTATTATATACAAAAAAGAAACGAATGGAATCAGCTGTGGAAGTCTACAAGAAGGCAGTTGAACTAAATGGACACGGCGATTGTTTTTCTGTCATTTTATTGATGACGTTGTGCTTTACTGAAGGACTTGTTTGAGTTAAAATTGACATTCGTTCGCTCAGATCGTCATCATCGAACATGATATCTGGCACTTTTAGATTGGTATGTATAGGAACGTCCGAATCGAGTTTAACACGTCCGTCCTGGTTTTCTATCTGCGAATCATGAACGTTAATGGACTGTTTCCTGGTTGTTTCTAGAAGTGAAAGGTAAATCGACGTTGGACCAATGAGATAGTAAGTCTCCATGAAACCTTTGCCCTATTCGAAAGTTTTAGATAAGCGATGTATACCAAGAGATGAACTAACCTTCATTTCAGTTTTCCCTTGATATACTGTTTCAAAGTAGATTGAGTCTTTCAAGAGTTCATAAGACGCAGCACTAAACTGGATCTTTCCAATCTGAGTCAGCAATCAGAAATGAAATTTTAGAAGATAAACAGAGAAAACTTACTTCACCAGACGTTGCCACGCGACTAGCCTGAGGAGAAGAAGATAGTTACTTTTGTGTTTTTCGGCAAAGCATAGACTCACTGTGTTGACTGTATCACCGAAGAGACAGTACTGGTAGTTACGATGGCCAACAATTCCACCAACAGCTGGACCCGAATGAAAACCTGTTCTTACGAGTAAAGGACACCTGAATTTTGATTATATCGTAAGAGATTTACCGAATTTCATTCGAAATGGTTGTCTTGTCAACGGATTTATCATCGAACGTGAAGCAGTCAGCAACTCGAGAGCAAGTGCACAGATAATTTCCGCTTGATTGAAATTGTACGGATTCTTTGAGTTTTGACGAGCGAAGTTGATCTTGCGTGCACTCTCGACATATTCTTCTCCCACCTCATTCTGTAGATGATTCGTGCTCGACGAACGACTGCGTGAAGTATTGTGATCATCACCGATCGACGAAGACGTTGTATTGAGACTCTACGAACACTACTTTGCCCGACTCCACGATTAGTCAAACTTACCACGTTTGAATTATGGCGATTGCTATACGCACTCCGATCTTGAATACCAGCCACAATTAAATAGCTCGAATCAGCCTTTGTTTCAACCTAAAATGAACACAAAAAGGTTGCTTCGTTGAATACAATGACTTTTCGCCCGAACAAACTTTATAGACGTCGAATTTCTCTGAGCACGTGTCAAAGACATTGACTGTTCTGTTGATACAATCCACGACTTGTTCTGGTGACATTTTTTGAATGATTTCTTTCATGTCAATTGAATACCCAAAGAGAACGGTTAATAGTTTGTGTGACTACAAATGATAAAGACAAATCGTTTGCTTCTTTTCACGAAGAACTCACTTCGCAAATGGAATTTGCAAGTACACCTTGCTGTAACATCTTGGCAATATGACGCGGCATTAGTGAATAGAGAAGACATTTCCCTTTTTCACGATATTCGCGTAGTTCATTTCTTGAATGTTGTAATTTCGTTATCCATGCATGTTGCTGAAGTAAAAGATCGTTAAATATGGATCTAACGAAAATCGAGCGCTCTCTTACTTTGTCGATTGCTGCTTGCAATTGCCTTGCATGCTGAATGCCACTGATCAAGATCTCGCTACTGCCATCGTAGAAGTTCAAATCGCTGAGATATAATCCAATAGAAACCATTTCTTCTACTGTACTCAGCCTACAAACAAGAAATATGTTCCTTTCGAGCTGGTTACAACGCTGAGTAGCTATCGCAGCTTTTCATCATGTCGTCTCTTCGAACAAAATAGACCTACATCGGGTGGCAAAGGAAGGCCAATTTGTGCCATGATGGAATGTATTTCATTTGGCCTTTTAACTTAATTGATCCGGTACTAGTCGATGGAGATTTACCATTATTTATATTTTGGTCCTTTATTGTACGATTCCTTGCCAGCTTGTTCACTTCTGGTTTCAAAGGAATACAGCTTTGCATAACGAAGACAACCGACTTTCCATACTTCAGAAACTGAAAACGAAGAAGATCATATAAGACAGATGATTTCAAAGACAGTCAAAGTGAAAAATGGAAACCTTTTCCCATTCGATGTGCAGAATGTCAGGCCTAACCAAAGTAAAAACATCGCTGATGTGTTTACCGACGACACAGCTGTCATCAGTGAACAAACTTCGAAGACGCGGTCCAAGTTGACTGATTCGCATCTCCGGATCAATCACGACACAAAATGGAAAAATCTAAGAAAATAGCGCTGGGTTATTGGACGTGACAGAAGAAACTCGTTCAATCGAAACTTACTTTGAAAAACGTCAAGCCTGTAACGTTTGTCAGCGAAAGCTGTCTTGTTAGATGAGAAGTAGTCTGTTTTATGACTTCATTATTAAAGTCCACTCGGAACATGATCCGAGTATCTGCAAAGGAATTTACACTCTGATTAAGAATGGAAATCTGTTTCTTCTGAAATACTCACATTCACTTGTTGACAGATCCTCTTGTGCCGTTACTTTAATATTTTGATTGTAGAAGTTCTTCGCACATTCACGGAGTTGCCCGACAACATAGTGTTGAAAACCACGACGGCGTGTTCTTGGAAAGATAAGAGTGGGTGAGGGTGGGTGACTTATTCGAGTGGACTTACTTATACATCAACACAACTCCATGCTCATCTTCCTCTGCAACACTGAACAATGGTGACTTCATTTGTGGGAAGGAAAACCGATTTGAATCATGCAATTGATCGATTGCATGAAGAAAATCTCCAAAATGTCTGCCAGCGACTCGTAAAATCTTATCGTAACCGTAAGTTGTAAAGAATCGAACGAAACACTTGCCAAAGAACTCCATGTAGTAGTCAGGCGAACCTTCACGCATAACACTAGTCAAGCCTAAATAAAACAAATCGGCGTCATACATCACGATACGTTTTAGGCGCTAAATTTTCGTGTTTGTCCTTAATTCGAGTATCATATGTCTTGTTCCTCTCCTTCCTTATACGGTCTTGCCTTGCGCTAGTTTCTATAAGAGAACGGATTAAGTATTAAATTACCGTAAGATTATAACTTCAAGTCTCTACATTATGATTCTTAATTATTCTCTATAATCGACTGAGATCTTTTACGTATGATAATTGCAAAGGAAACCAATTAAAAAAATCATCTTATATTGGAGAGTCTCCGCCTAAAGAAAGGATTTTACGAAGTCCTTCTTGCAAAACTACGTTAAGCGTTTCTCACGATCTAAATAGAGTTTGAAAATATATAGATCTTCGATTTTCGATTGTTTGTATCGTAGAAAACGGAAAAAAAACAAAATGAACTCACATTCTGCGATTCTTTGGATTATATCTTCATTGTATCTGCCAAGTATGGTAAATGTTTCATGTTCAAAACCGAGTTCTTGTACGATCCTTTTCCATGTCTCATGTCCATAAGCAACTATGATTCCATCACGGCAACTTTCCAGTAGAATACCGTAGAGCATCTTCTTTTCCGAAATGATCCAATTGGACGCTGTCTAAACCGGTGAAGGTGTTGGGTATTCGAGTAAATTATAGAGGAACGAGAGGAATATAGATGAAACACAAGACGTTTTATACTTTCCTTTGTTCAAGCGAAGAGAGAAGAGTGAGAGCAAAATATAAACAACATTTCCTGCGCTTAAAAGGGTATAATGCAACGATGATCTATCTCTTTCCCTGTTCTGTCGAGCTTTAAGATAAACGGATATGCTTTATTTATGTGCAATTGATAGTGAAGTGTAAAAAGAGAAATTTCCTTCTGGAGAGTATCTTTTTTTCGGAAATGACGTCGAATCAACATAGCTTGCATTTTAACATTTCGATGCACCGATTTCCTGTCGTTATATAATTGTAGAGGAGATGTCATCAAGTCCTCGTGAGCAATTTTTCGACCGAAACCTCGGCTTGAAGATAACCCAGTTATTGACGGCTTTTGAAAAAAAACCGCTCTCCATCATAGCGGTATATCATCTCTGCCAACTATCTCACTATCTCCGCGCAGTCATTCCACACCCCGATCAGCTCATTATATACCATTACATTTTTTTCTTTCTTCTTCCTTTAGTTAGATTCGAACTGCTTATCTTATAATCTAAGTTCACTAATTCCATTGAAAGATCTGGTGATGATCATACTAAGATCGAATAGACTAGTCTATCTTATCTATATCGAGACACTTTCTGATTTCGATCGACATGTTTCCTTTACTGGTCGATTTATATGAGTCTCACGAGTACCAGAAACTTCATGAATTTTCAATCTTCTCTAGTTGCTCATATTGACGGTAAACTACGCGCTATGTAGCTAGAAGACTTCTATTTATCGTTTATATTGATTGTTAGGAATGTTTAAATAAATAATCTGTCGTGGTGAATTTTATAACTAGAGGAAAATGTCTATTCATTCGATTGTTGTTGCTGATTGATCGTGTGATACTGCGAGTTGTTAAATGCCCCAACGATTTGAAAGATCATAAGTGGTTATACCTGAATATAACACATAGATACTATTTAGTACAAGTATCTCACGTATATCTATCGAAAAACTATTTAAGGTCTACGTCTGAGTCTCAAATATATCAAATCTGTCTTTTATTCAAATTTGATTAATATTTTCAGATGTTTTAGAACTAATGTTTTACCGAAATACGTATATAAGACCAAATAAACATTTATTGAGTCTTTATGTAACTCTAAAGATGAATAGATTCCAAATAGGTGAATTCATTTGTATAAAGGTCGTTCTTCTTTGGATCTTTTCAAGTTAAATTTTCAATATTGATAATAATAGTGAAGAAGTTGAATTTATCATAGTTTGATACCAAAAAACAAATTGTGTTTGTGTTTTCCAATAGGTTTTTCTGATAAAACATGCAATTCATTAAGTAGAAGAAATGAATCTATTTGAGTTTGGATTCTTTCTTTATCGCGCCGTAACGTCACGTATCAAAGTTGTTGCGATACATTCCCATATCCGAAATATACGAAGAATCTAACTAAAAATAGGAATCAAATTACTCAGGACACTGATATCTTTTGAGAAAATATGAAGATCGCGGTTCACAATGGAAAGCTCGCAGAATATGAATCTGTGGAGGATGGCGCTTCTCAAATACCGCTACTAACCTGTATTTCATCGCACATTTTCGATACTGCCGACTTGAACGATGTTCATGTTGTGGATTGTTTTTAACATCTAGTGTCGCAGGAACACGAACGGGGCGTTGCCAATACAGAACAGGAGTGCTGTGTTAGTAATAGTCATGACATGTGATATTTGAAAAACATTATTTATTGATTGTGCAATTCTACGCACATGTTCCTTTTTCTTATCCAACGAGAAAAAGTTTTCACAAGCGCTTCGCAATTCTATTGCTATAAATAAAGAAACCAAGTCAGCTTTTTCAACACAATGTCGTCGAAAAGTGTTCCATTACAGCATGGTCCTCTCTATCGTATTCCTCCGTACTACTACATTCATGTATTAGATCAAAATACAAGCGTGACACGATTGGAAATCGGCCCGAAAATATTTTTCAAACAGGATAATGAAACACTTACTATGGGGCCAGAAAAAATGATTATAATACCACCAAGGCATTACTGTATCATAGAAAATACTGTTATTAAAAATCAAACTGGTCAAATTGAACTGGACAAGAACGGACAAGTGAAATTATGGCACGGAGATGTCGCTATTCGATTACATGAAGATTATCAGGAGCCATTTCCTTTATATCCTGGTGAAATTTTAAAACAGGTATGATGCGACTTTAGTTACATATATATTCTGGATGAATCTGTTTCAGCCGGCGACAGAGTTGAAATACGTAGCAGCGAACTCGGCACTACGGTTGAAAGCAACGCTCGACTTCAATGACCATGGCGAAGTACGGAAAGCCGGCGACGAATGGTTGTTTGAAGGACCAGGTAAATGATCTATAAGAAAGTCTGTGATGATGGAAACACTCTTGGCTTATTCAGGTACTTACATACCACGAAAAGAAGTCACAATTGAAGAACGTATCAGCGCGACGATTATTGGTCCAAATCAAGCCATAAAACTGTGTGCAAAAAAAGAATTGGTCGATCGTCTTGGCCAACGACGCGTCACCGGTGAGAATTGGTTAGTGAAGAAACCGGGTGCGTATCTACCATTGGCATACGAAACAGTTGTCAACGTTGAAGATGCTCATGTGTTAACAAATAAAAAGGCTTTGCATTTGCGTGCTCTGAAAACATTTACAGATGATTTTAATCAAACCCGAAATAATGGCGACGAATGGTTGATAACATGCGAGCAAACAGAAGCACACATATTAAATGTTTACGAAGAACTGATTAAAACTGTGGACATCATCGTCTTGAATTCGAGACAATATTGTGTTATTTTGAATCCAGTCGGAGGTAAAATTGTCTTTGATAAGAAAAGAGGTTTTAACTCAGGTTTTATTTTTTTTACAGCTGATGGAAAGAATCAGTTAGGAAAAAAGAAATTAGTTGTCGGTGAAAAGTCATTTTTTCTTCAACCGGATGAACGACTGGAGAAAGGAATTCAAGATATTTATATCTTGGAAGAAGACGAGGGTCTAATTCTCAGATGTACCGAGCCATTTGAAGATGGTATTGACAAAGTATCGCGAATAGCAGGTAAATCTTCGTTCTGAGTAATCGGCTATACCATTCCTGTACTAAAGGTGATCGATGGCTTCTTCGAGGACCGAGAGAGTACATTCCTCCTACTCAAGTCGAAGTATTACTACGAAGAAAAGCGATCGCACTAGGTAGGTGACTTTTCTTCAAATCAGCACGTATAATCTTCGTTGCTCTCTCTCTCTCTCTCTAGACGAGAATGAAGGTATCTATGTGCGTGACACGAAAACAGGTCGTGCTCGAGCTGTCATCGGCAAAACTTATATACTAACGGAACACGAAGAATTATGGGAAAAAGAGTTACCTGCAAGAATCGAATCTTTTCTGGAGAGAGAATCGTTAATGAATCGATATCTCAGTTCAAAAGATGCAGATAAGAAAACGACAAAACGCGATCGATGGAAAGTAGTTACGTACTGTGTGCCGCAGAATGACGTTGTGCAGATTTATGACTATAAAATTAAAGAATCGAGAATTGTTTTTGGGCCGGATTTAGTCATGTTAGGTCCCGATGAACAATTCACTTGTATTAATCTGACAGGATCGGCGATTGCTTCTTTGCTTTACATCGTATTCTTGTCTGTGCTTTTTTGGTGTCAAAAATTAACAAGAAACAAACCGGTTTTCTTTGGCGGCGTGCTTTTAGTTGTCGGCTGGTTGATTTTTCGTCGTTTCTTTCGATTTTGAATAATAAAACATTTATTTGCTTACATTGATTCATGTATATAGTTGAAAGTTTTATTCATTCATTTCTTGCTCGCCACGAACGTACATGCATGTGTGCGATGTCAGAATCTCAAGAAGTAGTTCTGCACAAATTTTATTTTACACAATCAGATCATGTTATTGCGCTAAGTGAAGGTCAGGTCAAATGCGTTCCCTACTTAAATGCGATGGTGGAAAATGCACAGCGATTTTCTTGGCATCGGAATCAAAATAATGCATTTATTCTGGATGATTTAATACAATATTCTTCGCTAAAACCTATTTTGTCTGCTGTGCACAGCAGAAATTCATCGCATCTCTTCACCAAGTTGCCACGATATGTAGACGTTTTAGACGTGCTTCAATTGTATGAATACATGTCTTTTGATCCGATGCCAGTTCCTTCCTTGAGACCAATGTTGGGAATATATACAGAGGATTTACAGTTATTTTCAAAAAGACGCCGATACGTTAGTTTATCCGAAGTACAAAATACAGCTGTAGAGTTTACCGTCGCTGTTGCTAATGGAAGATATGAAATAGACAATATCGAAACGGTCAAAATTATTTTCGATCTACTTGTGCATATTCTGCGTTCTGTATCTGTATTCGGTGCACGTTTACGTTATCACACATTGGTGATAATAGAGAATTGCTGCCCACAGATCTTCACTCCCGATCAACGTGCTATGCTGCTTGCGTATAGGCGAAGTTTAGAAGTATTAAACGATACGGACGATTGTGTCAACGTTGATTTAACATATGAGCACGTGTTTGAACGGGAATGTAACTATGTTATGAGTCTTGAAAGAAGTTGGCTTTCGAAACCTGTACTGGCGAATGTGGCCCCACTCTACGCGCGTTTCTCGAGACCGAAAGGACGTCGGAATAAGAACGACTTGTATCCTATTTACCGTTCTCTTTCATCATGGTCTCCATATATGCTTTACACATGCGAGCGATGCATAACACAAACTATACTCTATTTTTCTCCCAAGTTCAAGGAAGCGCAACCACTGCGTCCATGTGGATACTTACACCTTTGGACTCGAATAAAACCCAAAGCCAATTCTATTGAAGATTTACCGACCATGCAATTGCATATTTGTGAATACTCACCTGAACTGAAGCATTTGAATTACAAAATGAAAACCTGCTTGATGGGATGTTGCACCACTCTTCAAAATGCGAATAACAAACGCGAAAAACGAATGATTTACTCTGGTCGGTTCTGTCATCTACTCAAAGGACCAGCTGTCGATAAGTTCAAGAATAAATACAATGTGAAATTACAAAAATATCGATGAAAACTATTGCACAGATTTTGATATATCATTAATCAAATGAAAAACAATCATTTTCATGTTTTTCTATTTATTTGTGTACAGCTAGCGTAGGCATAGGATTTTCACTCTAATTAAAGTTTGATCTGAAAGATGGATTAGTGGTATGGATCGTTTAATTTCGAAACTATAATTTATAGTACATAAGACACTCACGTGATTCTCATCTCTCGAACATGAAATAGGACGAAAAAGACAATCTTGAGTCGTTAATAGCCAATATTTTGTAGGAAAATTGTGTAATTACAAAGTTGCATTCAAAACATCTCTATAAGGCGGCAGTGAATATTTGCCCTAATGAATATTCAGAAACAACAGTTTTGCACATCAAATTAGTCAAACAAAGAATAGAAGAGAATTTCAAAGTAATCATATAAGAAAAAGTTGATTGTTACGACGAAAACACCAAAATGCTTATTGGTTCATTTCCAATGAAAAAATATACATTTATGGAACGGAGCTGTAATCCGTTTTTCTATTCATTATTTTTCCGAATATAAATCTTGTTCCTGCCAACGCATAACCAGGTAGTGAAATCCAGAAAGTACGATGTGGAAGCATATCAAATCCAGTGGCTTGTCGTTTGAATTTATTAAACACCGTAAAACCAACCAAATAGATACACAGCAACGTGAACAATACAATGATGAAGACTAAACCTCCACTGATTCCATTGTTCGGTGTCGAACCAGAACCGCCTAGATAAAGTCGAATATTGAACTTTGAGAAAAGTATTCAACTAAACTAGAACCTTTACATCCATCCCAACAGGCGCATTTCGAAGACAATGTCATAGTGTAAATGCGTTTGACTGTATCAAGGCCTTGAACGTCCAATCTATCAGATTCCTTTGGGCCGAGACATTTTAAAGTGACTTCTAATGTTCGTTCGGTAGTTTTATACACTAATGTCGGTAGTTCTTGACCTAGATTGGTTCTCCACTGCACACTGTTCTGTGTACCTAATGAATATGTTAGCTTCTGGTCGGTCTGATGTGCTAAAAAGAAAAATTAATCTTTGACATTCAATGCAAATGATTCTCGCACCTTGACAAGCAGCAACATCTAGGCAATTTACTTGACTGAACGAATAACAAGGATTGTACGAATAAACTAAAACAGAATATATTTTCTGAGGAATCTTTTGACTGCTCATTACCATGGCCGTCACTTATTTGCGGAAGAACGTCTTTCCATGCAGGTGTGCCATCCTTACGTCCAACGCTTCTTAAATCAATGATACCTTTAGGATTGAGATCATATATACAAGGATCCACTGCACTAGATATGTTTATTCGGTTAAAAATGAAGATAAATGAAAGAAAAACGGCAAAACTCTTTTCACAACACATCCTTAATGTTGTTGTGAAGATGAATCAACTTATCTCGTCAAAGCATTATACAAAGAAAGAAGAAAAAAAACTCTTGATAAAAATGATAAGTCACTCTGTCAGTGCAATTAGTAATCGTATCTATTCTTTGTTTGTCGGACGTTTATAACTTTTTCGAATCTCCTCGTTACGTTTCAAAGTAACAACGTGAATTTGAGCTTTAAGATAAGCAATACGATCTCCAATGCGACGATCGTAGGAGCTTCCAGCATGTGAACCTTTTGATCGAAGTGTTTCGAGTTCGGATTGCATCTGACGAATATTTTCGTTATGATCGTTGATATTCTCTGGTCCTGCCATTGATCAAATCTTTGTCCTAAAAGAGAAGCAAATTTTCGTTCGTGTTTTCATCACTACGAAACAAACTGAAAAGTACATCTGCGTCAAAGAAATGTATTTTAACAACATCAGTTTTTTCTTTGGCGAACGTATGTCGTGCTTAATAATAAGAAAAGAAACATGTATGAATGTTTTGCTGCTTGGTTTTTATTTAAGTAATGTTATAGTTGAAGTGTTAATATTAAAAAAAAAGAGAAAATTTTTAGTTTGATTATTTCTTGGGCGTTTTTGTTTTGTTGTTCTTTTTTTCATCTGGACGAATTCGTTCTTGACGTGTTTCTGTATCCGAAGTCAAACCTTGCTCTTTCTTCTCCCATTCAGACCGTTCTTTTTTACTGTGCGGACCAGCCTGTTCCGACGCATCTTTTATCATATTCGAAGACTTGCTCTTATTCGATACAAACAGACGTGTTTGGATCAGTAAAGATCGAGATAATTGAGATGGAAAGATAAGCCTAGAAGTCGAGGGTAACATATTTTGAGTTTCGAGTATACTAAAAACGAAACTATAGGATTATTGTGACATTGAGAACGAAAAAGAAATGTATGCCTTGTGATATAATTGAACTTGTACAACGAATGAAAATACATACGTTCTTTTCTTTAATCGCATTGTATATTCAACTGTGGTATGACACGACATCTGTAGAATCGTCTCGTTTTTTTTTCTATATAAGCATTAACAATAGATACAAAACTATGATTTAGGATAAAATTAAAAATCGATTTCAAGCATTGTTAATGTGCCAAAATGTCAAATTGAATACACTGAAGTGAAACGAAAAGTCTCATGGAGATCGTTTGAGCAGAAAAAATTTCTCATAACCATTGGCAGTCACTTTTTCACACATGTTCAAATAATTATGAAGACCACCAGCATAACGCATGCAAGAACTTGGTTTGATTAAAATATTCGAGTCATTGCCGGCAAAACTGTCTGCAGAATATGACAGCTGGCTAGCAACTAAATCGACATGATCCATCCAGGCATTTTGTCCGTCGATTTTAGCTTCTATACTATCAATATTATGCGTGTTCAGATAATCAATACATTTTATTATCCATTTGACGTTTTCCTCAATATGAGGAATCATATTGCTCAAGTTAATAGGACTACCGGGTCCAGTTATAGTAAACAGATTTGGAAAATCGGCAATCATGATGCCGAGTAACGTCCGTGGTCTGATTGTCCATTTCTCTCGAAGTGTTTGCTTTGACCGACCATGAATGTCGATATTGAGTAGAGATCCGATCACTGCGTCGAACCCGGTAGCGAGGACAAGGTCATCGATTTCGTAGAGTTTATCGTCGATTAGAATACCTTTTTCTGTAATTTTATCGATAGATGTGTGACGGATATCGACCAGTGTAACATTTTCGAGATTAAATGTATCATAATACTGACCGGCAACACAGGGACGCTTCGTACCAAATAAATGATCGTATGGTAATAAAGCGGCGGCAACTACAGGATCTCTAACGATTTCGCGTATTTTTTCATGAATTAGATAAGTTATTGTTTGTTTAATGGTATTATCATTCAATCGACTTTTGAATGCTGTGAAAAACGAAAGACCTCCTCTTTGCCATGCGATTTCAAATCGTTCTCTGTCAGTCATGTTTACGCGTAAAGTGTCATCGTCATAATCATAGAAGATACCACCAGATGACTGCAACATTTGAGATCGACGCTGATTGTAATTAGACTTCCAATCTTTCTCGTATTCAACGTCGACAGGTTTATTGTCTGTTGGAATCACGAAATTTGGTGTTCGTTGAATTACGTACAGATGAGCAGCTTGTTTCGCAATCATTGGAATGCACTGTACACCTGATGCTCCTGTACCGATAACAGCTACTCGACGACCAATGAAACTGACGTCGTTTTTCGGCCAATTAGTGGTTCTATAAATATTACCTTTGAATTGATCAAGTCCCGGAATTTTAGGGTCTCTAGCAACTGAAAGACAGCCCGTTGCCATAACACAGTACTTGGCAGATACTCGATCGTTATGACCGGTTGTTATCGTCCATTTTGACTGATTTTCATTATAGACTATGCTAGTCACACGTGTATTAAGTTGAATATCTTTGTTTAAATCAAACTTATCAGCGACATGATTAAGATAACGAAGAATTTCTGGTTGTCGAGCGAAACGTTCAGACCAATGCCAATCTTGTTGCAATTCATCACTGAACGAATACGAATACTGCATACTTTCAATGTCACATCGTGCGCCAGGATATCGATTCAAATTCCAAGTACCTCCAATCTCATCAGCTGCTTCAAAGACTTTTGTTGAATACCCTCGTTTACGTAACTCGTGCAACATAAATAAGCCGGCAAATCCACTTCCAACGATAACGACATCGAATGCATCAGAACCACGCGTCACACCATTAGTATTTTGTTGCATATTCATTGTTTTATCCATACCACACTAAGAAACATAAAACACAGACAAGTAAAAACTACTGTCATATCACTTCCTCTTTCAGAGTCGGATTTCACATATGTTTGTCCAAGTACAGTATGACCTTACACTGAATACGTCGATGAAAAAAAAAGAAGAAATAATATATTTGGTAAAACTGACTGTTAACGAAAAAGCGTATTCTTATCGGATTTTCACATCGATAATTATCGAAAGATACAACCACGCGGAAGAAAAATCTATCGACAATAGATTTTGTTTTTCTCCCACCCTACCCTACGAATACGTATTAATGTTACTATAGGCTGCGATGAAAGCGAGAGTAAATATTTTACCTACGCATATCCTTCTAGCGCGACAGAATAGTGTAAACAACCATATGGAAAAGTAATCAATACGTTATGATTCACTGTCAATCTAGTAATTAGATGACTTTTAATAAGGTGAGTTCTTCGTCAAGAAAATAGTCTTAGTGTTCATTTCAACCTATATGATTTTATTTCAGAAGATTTTCCATAAATCAGAGAAAAGTTCACGATATTAACGTTCGCTATCATAATACGAATACAAGAAAAAATCTATTGAAATGCTTTAAGGTTGTCCTTGATCCATTGTTCAAGCGTGCGTAGTGGTCGGCCAGTAATAAGAGCGATTTCAGGAGTAGTAGCATCACAAATATTTTTGGAAGCTGCCATTGCAAAGTTATATACAATCGAATGCGGTAGACCCATACCAGTCATTAACTTATAGAAGTCTTCGTATGATTGTTGTTCATACGTAATAGGTCTACCTAAAACTTTCGTGAAGATGGCTGCTCGTTGTTCATTATTTAAAGCTTCGGTGCCAAGTTCATAGATATTCCGGTCATGTTTGTCAACGGGTTCACTTAGAACGGCTACAGCACAATCCGAGATATCTAACCAGTGAAAAACAGAAAAATAATGAAATTCATCATCACCTTTTCTTTTTACGTACCTCTCGTATCGATCCATGTTGTTACTGATGACGGTGCTCCACAGGAGACAAGCTTGTTCGCTCTCTTGATCTGATGCACATCACCCATGAAATGATTGCTCATGAACGCTCCAGGACGAAGTACTACGAGAGAACGTTGTGCTGGATTTTCATCTGCGAGTTTCCAAAGCTTTTCTTCAGCTGCTGTGTGCATATAACCAATGATACCTTTTCGTCCGTAACTGCTGACAAAAGCCGAGGAGAGATCAACAATTTGTCGAACACCTTGTTCAAAAGCGATCTTCGCGAAGGTTCCTTTCACTTCACTCATATCTGCTGGTTTACTATGAACAGCAGCGTATAGAAGAAATAGACGAGTATGATCTTGAATTGCTTTTGTAAACACATCAACGGACGAATAATCACCAACGACGAATTTCAAACGTCCAGTGCTGAGTTCATCTTTGAACAAATCTTTTGCTTTGTTTTCATCTCGTACAAATGCTGTTGTATCGATTCCTTTTTCGATGAGACTGCGAACGATATCACCACCGATATTTCCAGTTGCACCAGTAACAAACACGCGTTCTTTGCTTGCTGACATTCTGATGATAAAGCAAAGAAAAAGAAACGTTTTTATACTGTTCGTTCTTCCCTCGATGCAGCCAATTTTATACAGAAGAGGAGAAAAAACAACTAACGACACGAGCGTAACTAAAGTACGTTGTAGTACACACACACAAATTACGAAACATCATTGATGTTGAGTAAAAATTGTCGTACGATCATATCAATCAATCATATCAAGAAGAACTGATACGTTCATTTTAACGACATATTTTATTTCTTGTGCGTTTTGATTAAGAATAAGTTGAGGAGTATAAATTGGCCGTTCGTGAGCATGTTTATGCACCTTTTTATCGATATGTCAGATCTTTAATTTTCATTGAGATGTCTCATTAGCAAGCATCACGCAAAATAGTTGACGTCATAATATAATTGCTGGACCGGTCTATATACGTGTATATATATAAGTATAAGTTCTGCTTTTTTATCTGTAAAATAGTGCACATTCTTGATCCAATCGATTCCAGGATCGTAGCGGATAAATACCACACTAATCTTCAACATTCTTTTACATCGATTATTATTGTTGATATTTGTGCTCTATCACAGAAAAAAACCTCCTTTAGCATAAATTTACAATACTCATCAACTAGATTTCTCCTTACTGTCACTATTGAATAGTGAAAAAGTAGCACACCGTTTTCTCCAGTACAGGAGTGAAGATCATAATGGATTTCAGCACATATACTGGATAGAAACGTTTCATGAATTGTCTTAGGACATCTGATTTGACTTTATTCAAATCAATAATCACTTCATATCTATAATTTTCAAAAGAGCTGTACAGCCGGAATAACAAATGAAATATCATCACCCATGTCGTCAAAAATTCGACTCAAACACTGTACAACTTTACTTCAGAATACTGAATGCAATCTGCTTTCCGTCTTTTACCAGAAACTAAGAAACGGTAGCTTGAATATTCGACGATGTTATCAAAATACTGTATTGAACCACACTTTCGTCTGCCAGGATCTAAACTAATTCCACTGGGACCATCGTAAAGCAGTGTCCAGCTAGCACCAAGAGTAAGATTGGTTCCTGTTGAATTACTTCCTTCCAATGATACAATAATCGGATCACGTTCAAAGTGATCATTGGCTGTACAAACTCTCAATCCATTGACTAATGTTGAGCCAGTACTCAAGTCACAGCCATGGTCGTTGGTATACAAAGTTCCTTCATGGCATGGCCCAAAGCTTACATACTTAGTGCTTACATTTCCTTCACATGCTTTGCCTGGTGATCCATGTGTTACGTATGTATTGGCCAATACTCTTGCCAGGGGTTGCTGCCTTGCTATCGCCACCTACCGATGTGTTGTACACACCATAGACCATCCCTTCGACAGCATCCACTGATATTGGATCTATAAACGAATTAGGATTCAATTATCTGAAATATATCTTTGAAACTAAGCTGCGAAAGTGGTAGGAACTCAAACACATCTGAATAATACTGTTAAAAATCTAGATATCTTTTCCAGTCAGAAAGAAGTACCTGGTTCTGTTGTTGTAGTGGTTGTTAATATTGATGCTGATGAAGTTGAGAATGTTACTGTATTATTTCTTGGTGTTGATAGTTGATGTATCAACCATGAGATTCAACGAGCAGAAACAGGAGGGGCTGATGAGAAAGAGAAAATCAAGTGAATCAACACAATACTCTGTCGAATTTTATATTGTAGAAAAGCGTTTCGTCGAAAGATAATTGTATTTCTCTTTTCGTTTGCTTATGATTGGGGCGAAGTTCACTTTTCTCTAATTATCTTCGTGGGTTTGGCAAAAGAATAGAATATTCGAAATAAGAATAATTATCGAAGTTGTTGCAAATAATAATGATCTACATCTGTATTTGTTATTTACACTTTTCTATTTGCGCTTCACATCACGTTGTAACTCGCTAATCATTAACTCAACATGTGTACTGATGCTGTGAAGTTTTCCACAATTTGAAAAGAAAAAAAGGAGTAATAATACGTAGTGGCTACATGTACACTTTGCATAAGAATAATATGGATGTCAAGTATTGGCGATGCAAAGAACACCCTTGTTGCTCATACTGGTAAAAAAGATCATGTTACGTATCATAATGGTCACCACAATCATTGTCGACGAAGGAGCTTTCGACCAGCAACATAATTACCATCTCTCGCCATCGCAACAGGATCTAATTCACTTGGAAATATTTCATTCACATTTGCTACCTTGACATACCCTTCTGGTGCGGAGAATCATTAGAATCAGATCGAGCATGGATGGCTATGATTTATGATGCGATAAAACGAATAGCTGTCAATGAAGACAAAGTCGAGTGAATCTATCAGAAGTAGAAAAGTCAATTAGAAGATTTGTTTTTCTTTCCCGGTAAAAGACTTTTAAATCTGAAAATATATTATTTGAGTTAAAATCTATGTTTTTTGGCAGAATTATGATCACAGATACCTATCGAACCTGTCTAGTGGGAATCATGCGATCGAAAAGATCGATCCTGGAGTAATAAGGACTAGATCAAATCAATGTGAACCTTAAATGTAATCAATGATATGAAACGAAGGTGCTTCAACTGATGCGTATATAAATGAAACAAGACGAAAACTTGATGAACATTTCATGTCTGTTATTTGAAGTTACTACCAGTCTTTTCATTAAATTTGTATATTCATCTATCGAAGATGCAATATTTATCATGTAACAATGACTATACTGAATAATCCTTCTCGTCCATACCGATATTAGTTTGTTTCATTTTGATATTATTAAATATGCTTGTGGCTAGAAATTTGGACATTTACATTTTGTTTCTCTCTAGCTTGTTGACTTCTATCCCCGAATTCGTTGAAATGATCTATGAGAGAAGGATAATGAACGACGAAAATTTAGCAAAGACAATATCTGTAACGAAGATTTACCGCAATCTACGACTTAATCCAGAAACAAGTACCTAAAATGCTTTGATAAAATTGAATTAAGATCTTCACTTCGGTTTGGTAAATCAGCTGACATCGCCATAATCTATGGCTATTAGTTTATATCGTAAGTGACCACATTATATTGTCAATGGCTGAAATGATACAAATGGAAAAGCAGGATTTCCATCGACTCCGATTACTCGTACCGTTCGTCTTGAAAAACTACAACTTTTTACAGAAAAATTCTAATTATATCATGGAAGTAAATCACTTCGTCTTCTCTATATAGTTATTCTCTCACGATATTCAACAAACAGCATTTGTTCAATCGTCTAATTTAGTCGTATTCGATATTTCAACTAAGAATGAGCAGTAATGAGATTTCAGTAAGTTGGACAGACGAGCACTGCTCATTTAATAATAAATCAGGTTTTTATAAATATAAAATGGGCCACATATGTTCCTGTTTTTTTTTCCTTTGTAGATAAAAGTTTCTCTCGATAAAATCATTGAAAATGATATGACTAAGAGGATCTATCATTAGCGTATATTGATCTGTCAATGGAGATGAGCATACTTCATTGGATATTTTTCGTCTCTTGCCATGAGGTGCTCATTTCTCATTCTAGTAATGCTTTTCCTTCGTGTAACTGACAATTTTTCGTGCATATTGGAAGATGATTGGAAATTCGTTTTTGCAGATCAGGGTCCTATAAAAGCTCGTGGAAATATTGAATGCATTCAATTCAGCTAAAGTTGCTGTCAACCGAACATGTGGATTGATGCTAAATGCAAATTATGAGAAAGAGATTTTCACTTTAGACTTGTTTTCGACTGATTTACGAGATACATCGATTGATGACGATTGCCTATTTCATACAGGACTCATATATGCAAATCATGAGAAGATTTATCTTCATAAATGGACTAGAAATCACTTGTCAAGATTATGACGATTGTCAAAAGCGTTTATTATTTTGATTTCATGACACGGTTAATCTCTGCAAGGTATGTCCATGTGGAGGGAATGCATACTCCGCTCATCCTCGACTGTGGCTCATCAGATGAGTAAATTTAACCATGTTGGAATGCCAATCATTAGTTTCAAGTAGTATAGAGAATCTTGTAGGATGATGTTCTACTGCTCACGCACCACATTCAAGAACGCTTCTCCAGCTGTGCTTCTCTTTCACAAACTGAAATCGATCACATTGGCATCTGAATGTCATGATTCTAACAAATCAGAATGTATTTTGTCTAGATGACAGAACAAAAGATTAGGAGAGCATACATTGAACGATATTTCAGAAGTAATTCATATGATCAAAAGCGAAAACTAGGGCCACGAACATATGTCATTTTGCTTTCTAATTCAAGTATCCAACATAAATATCATACGCTTCAGTCACTATTTATGGGTACAATACGTCGATGTCTCTCGATTCGCTCACGAATCTTCCAATACACCTGTAGACTGCCCCAAATAACAAGAGGCAATCCTTCAGTCAATCCACCATATAAACCAAGAATCGTGGTCAACGTGTATACAAAACCATTTCTTTCAACATATGTGTATCGACAGTTCGATGGTGCACATATCGAGTAATAACTCGAATAATTAGACGAATTCTGCCATGATTCGATGAACAACTCATCAATCAAAGTACCGATTGGTGTTGATGAGATTGGTGTGAAACGACTTGGGGTCGATTCATTTAAGGGCGACGGAACAAATGAACTTTTGACAAATATAGCTAATTTCTTCAGGCATTCTGAACTATAAAGACAGTCAAGAGTTGAAAGTCGAAGGCCATGAACAGGTAAACATCCCACAACGAGACCTACAAGCAAGAAGAAGTTGAATTCTATTCTTCATCAATATTTTACCGACGAGTCTTGTTAGGTAGTTCATATTTTCCAGCTTCGATCTTGTACATGTTGAGGAAGTCTCACATGAACAGAACTGGCCACTTTCATTCACTGAAACTGGAATTGTTGAGAAATAGTGTAATTTGCCAACAGATGATGTTACTGGAATCCAATTTGTCAAGAGAATATTTTGAAATTGATTAGCATGAAGCATGTCATTAACATATTGATGTGTTCGTCGGAAATCACGAGGCGTTTCTCGTATAAAACTGCTCACAATCGAGTGAATTTGATCATCGAATGAGTGTCGTGATAATGGCTCGACAGTGACGAGTTCTCGATTCGATAGTGTTCGTATCCTTTGTTCAACGGTGCTCTTTGCAACAGAACATAATGCTGCCAGCAGCCGAAATTGTGTACTCAACACTTTACCGTCCATGGGTATCAAATACATTTCGGTTCTATCGGACCCCCAAAGAATATCCAAGAAGCGAATTGAAACAAAGTCACTTGAACATATTTGATGATATGCATTTGGCTCGATTGAGAGAAATTCGGAAAAGGAAACTGCAGTTTGTGAACATGGACAAGAAAGTTTGAATGAATATTTTCGTTGAAGAGATTCAAAGGTTGATTCGGATGGAAATGGAATTGTGAACGAATACACTGATACATTGAAGGCAATAATGTTGATAACAATGAGAAGGATGATGATGAAGAAAATGACAAAAACACGAGTAGCGAAGCGCTGTCGTTCGATCAACAAAATATCAGCAGATGTTATTGGTGGAGGATCTGATGAGGGACGAAAGCGTCGTTTGTCATACAAGTTCAATGTCTGCACATAGTTTTTGAACTTCGCATATTTTTGAAGAATACTTCGGCGAGAAATGCATACATTGAGTATGACTTCTCGTCGAATGTCATTAGAATGTCGATGGCAGCAACGATTGATTTTTCGACATAGTTTGACAATGAACGGAGTTAGTATCGTAAGAGTAAGAGAAAGACCATCGATGATGCCAAATATTGTTGCAATAATAAACACACGATTAAAACGCTGTTCAAAAGTATAAGTACATGTGTGTGGTGCACATTGCTGATAGAATGCGGTGAAGTTAGTTTTGTTGATCCACTTTTCGATGAATAGCTGTGAGACGATGTCTTCTAGTTTGGTCTTAGGTGGAAAACGAGTGTTACGCATTGGATCGAGTGGAGTGACGCTACTGAAACGTAAATCGTTTGCTTGAACTGTGGCGTTAAATGAACGCCATTCGATGAGCATTTCAATGCATGATGAGTTGTAGAAACACTCGAGTGTTGATAGCAGAAGAGAGTCGATGGGTAAACAACTTAGAACTAAACCAGGTATAGTCTGATTTGGGCTTTTGTTCCATGTTCCACATTGCGTGGTACAGTAAAAACCTTGTGAACGTCGACAATCAATACTTCGGCCACATGAACAGTTATAATCATAGTGACTATTTGGCAGTAATCGGTATGAAAAAGTACCAATGTTCTTGTATCTGATGATTATAGAATTTGTGTTACCAAGTGCCTGAAGTTGGTTCAGCTGAATGGATGCACGAACCAGTTGAAATATTGCCAGAAATGAGTCAAGAGTCTACAATAATCAAAGATCTTTCTCCATCCTCGATACAAATCTGCAAATTTATCATGATTTGCTTCCGTCGTTGTCGTATGAATCGTGAATATAAACCATGTATATTATCTAAGTACTAGTGATAGCACAATCCTAGTCTATGATAACCTATGTTGCTTCATGCAGAAAAGCTGTGCAACAGCGAACTTCTTAAGGAGGAAAAAGCGAGACTTCATCTACTTCAGATAGTATTCGAAGTACGGTGAAGTATTTGAAGTCTCGATTTTCTCCCTTTGGAACTTCCACTGCTGGGCATCCTCTCTCATATGATCGTTTCTTTTATCTCTGAATAATACGCAATATTATCAAAGTTTTATTACCTGTTGTTGCAATTGATCAATTAGAATGGATGTTTGAATATCGAATGTATCTCTTGACACAACATGTGCATTGATGAATTGCGTTTCACTGAACACGCGTAGTTGATTTCTCACTGTTTCATTCGATAATCCACATAATGTTTGAAGTATGTGAAATAGCCTTGAACCTTCCATTCGAAAATCCAACGAAAACATGAAACCAATAGTCATATTAAAATATGAAAACCAAGCATTATCGTCGATAAACTCGCTCGAACACACTTGATGATATTCGGCTTCGAGATGAATAATCGAAGAATAAGACACAGACAGATGACGACATGGACAGATCAGTGTTCTGCCATATTTCCCATACAATCCTTCATATTCGGTCAAAGTTGGCTCATGTACAGTGATACTTCGCATCTGAACTGATATTGAAGTGTAGAAGACTAACACGATGATTCCAATGATATATGAGATGATGTAGAGTCGTGTTGAATACAATCCATC